CTCCCTCTCTCCCTCTCTCCCTCTCTCCCTCTCTCCGTTCCTCCCTTGCCCCGATCTCCTCCGCAGTTGGCTCCCGCAAGTCGAGTACTTTGCCTCCAAGCCGGACGAGTACAGCGTCCTCATCTTCGACCAGCGCGGCTACGGCAACAGCCAGGTCCCCCGCGGCCGCTACACGTGAGTTGCGTGTGTAGGTCCTTGCGTGGTCGAGGTGCAGACATGGCACTGATGCGGCCTGCCCACGCCCGCTGGATCGCAGCACTTCGCAAATGGCGCTCGACATCCTTAGTCTGCTTGCGTCGCCCGAAGTGGGCTGGCTGACGCGCCTTCCAGGCTCTGTGCCTGCCTTTGGGCCGCCGTCAGTCTTTTCGAACAGCCCCAGGACAAAGCGCAGCAGCAGCGGTGGCGGCAGCTCTGCGGCAGCTTCGCTGGCGCAGGTGAGCGAGACGGACATTGCGCCGGCCGATGCGCGCGCGTTCCACATCGTCGGCGTCAGCATGGGAGGCATGATCGCGCTCGAGCTCGCCAAGCGCTACGCACCGCTCCTTAAGAGCCTCACGCTGATCAGCACCACCAGCGGCCGAGCGTATGGCGCTGCAGACGTGCACCAGCCCGGATCCATGTCGCCTTCTGGTGAAGCAGGCGGAAAGGAGAGCGAGACGTGCGACGCGCACGAGTCGCACGCGGAGCATCTGGTCAAGCGTTTCGCGACGGGTCTGCCACCCTTACGCGGCGTGTCGGCGATCGCGCGCGTCATGGGCGGCCGCCTGCTGGGCATCGACAGCGACGCATTCCGTATCAAAAAGTTCACCACGCTCCTCTTCCCCGCGCAGTGGCTCGATGAGCCGTGCGAGGTGGTCGCGCGCTCGCTCGAAGCGCTGCGCGCGCGCGGCGTCTCCACAGAGCGCCTGCCGCACGCTGCGCGCGTGCCGAGCAACCGCCAGTGGTTCGCCGAGACGTTCCAGTGGCGCTATCGTTATACGCATAGGCAGGCGCTGCCCGGCGCCCTCGCGCAGATCGCGGCGACGCTGACGCACCGCGTCAGCAACGCTGAGCTTAGGCATAACATCGACGCGCACGTCCCGCGCACCCTCGTCCTGACCGGCGATGACGACAACCTTGTTAACCCGGACAACAGCAGGCACCTCCTCGCCAACATGCCTCGCGCACGCCTCGTTCGGCTCACTGGCGGCGGACATGCGCTCAATATGCAGTTCCCCGCGCGCGTCAACCGGCTGATCGAAGAGAACGTCAACGAGGGCGAGGACCTCGTCGCCCAAGGTGGCTGGTGAGCGCCACGTTCACGCGGCATGCCCCCGTTCTCGCACTCCCTCGCTCCCTGTACACATGTAGAATAGATTGCAGCATTGATATACTAAATTATATGCGTACCAATAGGATAACTCATTCGCTTGTTCGATTCGCCGGCGGCGCCGAAGAGCAGGGGCGCCTCCCTTCCCGACTTCCCACCCATCTTCACTAGGCCTCCTTCTCCTCGCCGGAAGAGGAAAAAATGCGCCGGACGTAGCGCCTCCACAGTTTGTCGTCGTTCGCGAGGCGTCGTGCGAAGTTCATCACGTCCTCAACCGTCAGCGACTCCGCGCTCCAGTCCGTCATGTGTCGCAGCGCTTTCGGAAGCTTGCGCTTGCCGTGTTTCTTGCTGCCTCGTCTGCTGCTGCCGCCGTCAACCGCCCTGATCAGCCTCTCTGACCACCCCAACCCCCACAGCCACGACCATGATGGAGGGTCTGCAGCGTTGAGTTCGAATTCGCCTGACGGGTCCACGCCGAACCGGCTCAGCTCGACTTGTAGGAGGTGTTTTGGCACAGGAATATGTGCGTACCCGTGCCCCGCCTTTTTACTTCCTGATCCAGGGTTTGGTGATGCGAACTCGGCCCAGAGCACGCTTGCAGGGTAGGTCACGTATTCCAGCTGGTATTCCGCTGAGCCTGGGCCTTCCTCGTCTTCCCCCACCTCCTCTTCGGCCCCCCACTGCGACTCTTCAGCTCCCGCCAAGAGCCATCGGCCTTTTCGATGATGCTGCTTTCGCCGCGGTCGCCGCTTCTTCTGATCTCTGAGCCATTTCTCATATGCCTTGTTCGCGCGGTCGATATCAAAGACCCACTGCGAATACCCAAGCGGCGTTAAGAAGCGATTGGTGCGCGAAGGAGAGTCAGGGTTAGAGTGGTACGTCTTGTTGTGCTTCTGCTTCTTGCCTGGCCTGGGGTGGCGGTGATTTCTCTGCGCGCAGGCTCCGCCAGAGCCCGAGCATGCCTGTGCAGGGACGTTCTTCTCATCTCCATTCACCTCATTCACTTCCTCCTGGTGGTCCATCTCCTTCTCCTCGTCATCGGCTTCCTCGGCAAGCACAGGTGCGTCGGTCGCACGCGCCTGCTGCTTGAAAGCACTCTCGCGTGTCACGTTGTACGTCCAGACCCGCACGGACGGCCACCAGGTGGGGACGATGCTCGGTGCCGAGAAGAAAAAGTTGTACTGGTCCAGATTAGTCCGACGCCGTCCGGGTAGGGTGTTGAATTCGTCGCGGATATCGTCAACGATATCTGGCCCTGCAGCAATGCTGATAGGCCTTGCGCCACCGCCGCGCTTCCAAGTCTCGCACTTCGCTCCCTTAGCAGCTGTTTCTACGTGCGCCAGCGCTTTGCCTTTTATTATGCCTCCAGGCCCTTCTTGCAAAAAGATGGCATCGACATTCATGTGCCCAAAATGCTGCCCAATAATCGTGTCCTGGTAGCGCAGCACAATGTCTGTGTAGCGGGAGTAGCAGCGCGGAAAGTAGTTGCCTGCAGTCGGCGGCACGTGTCCGACCAGCTGCGCCTGCAGGCCGCGAGTCCGCAGCTGCATCAGCTGCACCTCGAGCCAGTCCTGTTTCATGCACAATCCGGTCGATGCGCGTCAGTCGCGCTCTATGATTCAAGCTCTGCATGTCGAACAGACTCACGAGCTGCACGCTACCAGGATCCCAATCCTTCTCGGGTGTCTTCTTGCTGTACTTCTTGCATCCATCGACCGCCTTGTTGCTGTCATAAAAGTACAGCGTGTTGAGGCTGAAGACTGCGAGTTCATTGGGCAGTACCTCTTTGGCGTAGTATCCACCCTTTTGAAAGACGTGGAATTCAGACTCCGGCACTTGGCTGCCCCAAATGGAGGTGTATTCACGTGTGATGTCGTTTGGACCGGGAAACATGCTGCGAAGTGCCAACTATGTCAGCACTGGTTTTCGCGCAACGCATGCTTCAGCGTTGCTTACATATTGTGTGGAAACTGTTGTCACCAAATGGAAAGATAAGCTAAAGGCCTTCTGCGATCTGAGACAGCACCACTCACGATGTCATTGTTTCCAATTGTCGGTACAATAGGAACGGCAGGGAAAGCCTTTTCGAGCTCTGCGAGTGCCCATCGATTGTACTCGTAGATTTCTGCTCGGGTTCGTGGGTGCTTGGAATCGATGTCATGTCGTGCCGAATCACCAGTCCAGATAATATAGTCTATCCCGTCTGTCCCATTCGCTTTCTGCCAGTTCGTTGAAAGCCAGTCTAGCGTTGAAGAGATCAAGCGTTTCGGTGAGTCACAGTCGCTGAACGAGGCACGTCATCGTCAGTCCATGCGACTTGTACGCCAAATGACCTTGCAAGTCCGAGCACTTACCTGATTCCCGTCCCCCAGTATCCCGCTCTCGCCTTTCCACCAGGCTTCTTCTTGTGCGGCTCGTTGCTGTGACATCCTGACGAGACGGCTGATCCATGCTTGTAGAAGCCATCAGGATGCATGTCGGTGATATGCAGGAAGCGGCCAAAGAGCTTGCTCGACGCAGCGAGCGCGGTTGAAGACATGCTTGGTGCATTGCTTTTCGAAGAATTTGCAGCGTCATTCGAATAGGCTGCTGTCCAATGTTCGGCGGCTTGCCCAGGTACAGTCTCAAGTACGTCTACTTGAGCCAGGAAGGGGTGTTGATGCGCAGTAACCACGGAGGAAAAAAGCGGCGCTGCGAGCGCTGAGAGCAGTATTCGCTGCTGCTTCCTTCTCTGCGGTCCCGGACAAGTAGGTGTGGCAGGCATTTCGGTCCGATTTCAACAAGTGTCGTTCAGGAGGGGTTGTAGGATGGGGTCACAGATGCACAAGCTCGCCTTCCTCCGCTCTACTCTTGACCTTCATGCAGGAGTCACGGCGAGGGTCTCGGAAATTCTTGATGCTGGATGTTGGGCAGGCGCAGGGAAGGATGCGGTATCCTTGCAAGGATACTCGCGCACGAAGCTTGGACACCTTATGCAGTAAGAGACGATGAACGAGACAAGCTGGACATGTTGGATCGTTCACTATCCATTCGTTGATGCCATGCCATGTGCCATGGGAAAATAGTAGGGTTGGTTCAATGACAGACTAAAGACTGCGACTGGGACACCCTCACTTCATCTCAGCACTTTTCCAGGGGATATATACCATCCGACTCGACACAACCCACGAATCCCGCCTTCCGCTTTTGGGGGTTTGCCACTGTTCGTCTCTCTCTCGCTGCTCCCACAACCTCACCTCGATGCTCGTTTCTACGAAATCTAATCTTCATCATCCACTCTAATATGGCTACTATTCTCAAGGCCTTCTACCATTTTCTACTCTCACGCCTTTGCTTCAGTAGGAAGATTCAACCCTGGTTGTTTTTTTCTCAAGGATCACATAACGCGAGTTGCGAAATTGAGGAATTGACTCGTGACGTGCTTAGTCAGGCTCACGAATCTCACGAAGAGAATTTGGGATGGTTTGATTCGATTTTTGACAAGACTTTCGACGTGTCCGCTGGACAAGGTCGAAAGTTCATCCTTTCACGACTCAAGGGTATAATAATCTTGCCCGGTGCCATCCCCTCCCACAGGGAAAGTAGATGCACAGAGGCGCCAAGCCGCGGGTTCGCTGATGGCTTCGGAAGGCCGGTTCGGTTTACAGCAGTCAGAGATGGCTTTGGATGAGACCATGAGGATTACACGGTTTCATCCATAGTAGCTCGTTCCGCTGTGTCACTTTGAGCGCTTCCTCCATATCGCCTCCGTGATGCCGGTATGTCCTTGGAGCTCCGAACATCTCGTGACAAAGCGCACGCCCTGAAGACACAGGAACACAATAAAGAAGTACTGTCGTTAAATGATCCTAAGCGATGTGCGATGCTACGCAATATCAAACGATTCACTGGCAGCAGTGTCAAAGTCCGATATGGAATATCCGTCAACAGAGAGGTCCGTGTCGAAGCCGGTATCAACGGACGACGACCGGTCACCGTATCTGTAGCCATCACCGTAGCCAGCGGCGCTCGTATCACCCGAGGAAGAAGCGATGCTACCTTTGCGCTTTCTTCTCTTTGATCTGGAGCCTGGCTTGTTTGGGTTCCATCCGGCAGCCAGCAACTTGTTGCGCGCGCCCGTCCCGCGGCGGGGGTTAACGATATATGTGCAGCGAATGCTTTCCTCTTTCTCCCGCTTTTGGTGCCACATCCCCTCTCGGTGGTCGCCAGCACGATTCGCCCCTGCAGGCGCCGGCGGTTGACCAATGTAACGCTTCCATCGCTCATTGCAGCTGAAACTGCTACACCCGTAAATTCTTGCGAGGCAATGCAGCATCAGTCGATCGAATGCATCCTCGACGATCCAACACATATACGCCTGCGTACGCTCCACCTCCACCCAAAAGCCGTCTGGTTCTAGCTCTAGCGATGGTTCCGCGTCGTACGTTTCTGGTGTGATGGTGATGTCAGCGCCTGCATCTGGATCGGCGTCTATTGCACCTTCTTCGCCTAGTGGACGAGATGCCGAGTTGGCCGATTGGCGCTGAGCTGCGCTGCTGGAAGCCTGCAGCTGCTCCACCGCTGCTGCTCGGAGGTCCGTAACAGATTCTGCCGGCTTTGGGAGTTTGACATCTACCACCAAGCTGTCAGTCCACTCCGCTATCTCCCTCGCCGCCTTGATCAGGACCCTTTGCAGCGGGCCATGGTCTGGATTGCGCTGTGCGGCGTCTGCGCCACCTTCAGCATCGTCCTCAACTTCGTCGATGATGTCCAACGGCACCGAGCGCGAGGATGGCCTTGCTGCCGCAGCTTCCTGCATCGGATCGGCTCTCCACGCTTCGCGTGTCGGCGGCAAGTGTTTATATGCAAGCGAGGCGCGCTCGTCAAGGATGCGCCGCGCGTCGCGGAGGCTCAGCGAGTACTTGCCTAGCGCAGCAGACGTGGAGGACGTCGCGGGTTTCTCCGGACGTACATGGTCGAGGAGGTGGCCCTCGCCTGGTATCCGCAGCTCCTCTGGGATCGGCGCGGTGAAGGTCGACGAGACCGGGTTGGATGAGTGCGGTATGCGGTAGTCAGCCATCGTCGGTTTCGCTACGTGTGGATTGGAAGCCATGCGTGCTGCAAAGACAAGCGATAAAGAGAACCAGCTCAGTTATGCATTCCATGAAGGCTGTAGTGAGACTCATTGGAGCCCGCTCACTGTTCTCCTGCCGACGAGCTTTTCTTCGCCCGACACTACGTTCCTTTTGCTTGAGCTGGCGCACCTTTTCTTCCAGCAATTCTTGATGCCTTGCGGAAAGCGTGCCGAAACCATTCTCTCGCGAGCCATTGGAATACCCAGATGAAGTCCAATTCGAGAGTGCCAGGGATGTATCATCCTGTATGCTGGCATCTACGGGCCCGTCCGCTGCCGGTCCTGCTGCACTTGCGGTCGCATTTTGAGAAGCCCCCGCGGACTGAACGGCAATGCCCGGACGCACGGCAGCATCACTGCTGGCGTCAGGGTCGTCCAGCGAAAAAAATCGACCGTCCATCGAGTCCCAAAGGGATCGCGCATCTTGGCGTGTCGGCATGGCAGACCTTCGAAAATGAAGAAGTGTGGGAGTAACGAACAGCGGGTGGCGGTCGTGGTGACCCAAGTACTTGGATATTACCTCGCCTGCACCTCCTTGCCGCCCAGAAAAGTGCTTCTCAGAAAGTGAAGAGAACAGCTTGCTACATGAACATATCAGGGCGCAGGGTGCAGGGCGCCGGGCGGGCGGTGGATGGCTTGCAAATTGTAGTTTGTATTTTGTATGCCGCCAACCACATTCTGAACTTGTGGTTGGAGTCACCCACGAGGTGGTTGAGGCGATACGCCGCCATTTGCCACGTGCTTTGGCGTCATTCAGCCCGTTGCTGAGGGGACTAATGAGTCGCCAGGGGGTGGTCACGTGATATTATTGACTTGTCCCCGCGCCGCGCCGCACCCGCAGCCGGCAGCTGTTGTCATCGCTAATTTATAGCATAACCCCCCTGTCTCATCGCAATGATGATACAGCTTTGTTGTATCGGTCAATAGCCCATCGCATCGCCTTTCTTACTCTCCCCTTTGGCATATCTTTGTCAGCTAGAGACGCATCACCCGCCATCTCCACGACCAAACAGAGCAACGAGGAGAAGGTCGGTGAGAGGTTCACTCGCGTTTGCGGAGAGAGCCTGGACAACTCGGTGAGCTCTCACGCCCTTACGCCCTCACGCGTCATCCAGGTTTCGCGTGCGAATATTCTGACGGCTATGCGGTTCTAATTCCAGAAAGGCAACCTCCACCATGGCTTCCACGTATCGTTACGCGTATGGCTCCCCGAACCGTAGTGCGGGCGCCTGGGGTCCTCGTTCACCCGCTGGGGTCGGCGGCGCGCCACACGCCCAAGCGCTTCCACAAGGGGCTTACGGCGTACCCGCACCGCTCTCCAGTTCACCTTCTCGTCCCTATGAGCAGCAGCCACAGCAGCAGCAGCAACCACAACTACAGCAATGGCCTCATCAGCAGTATTATCAACAGAAAGGGCAAGAGCAACAACAGCATCAGCAATCCCAACCTCCCCCACTGGCTACGTACCACGCTGGTTTACCTGCTCAACCTGAGGAACACTCATTCCCGGGTAGTGGAGGCGGTGCTGGCAGCGGTGGATCTATACCTTTTACTAATGAAGCAGCCGTCGACGAATGGTACAACAACACTGACATTGGCATGGAGACGCAAGCCGCGTTTGGCGGGAACGACCCGGCTCGTTCCGGCCCTCCATCCCCTTCTCCCCACAAGGAGAGCGGACGGAAAGGCAGCCCGTTCGCGGGAATCTTCAAGCGTGGTCGTCGCTCCTCCAACGTCAATTCGCGCTCGCCCAGTCCGCTGGAGCCCATTACCCCTACTGGACTGCCTTCCCCGTCGGCTGGCCCAGATCACCAAGAGCGCGAGGCAAGGGGTGGGTTCTTTGGCGCGGCAGCCCGTAGACTCTCGCCTGCGTCGCCCGGCCGCCGAAGCGGCGAGAGGGAACGTTCGCGTGACGCGTCGCCAACTTTTGTTGTCCGCTCCGTCACGCGCCAGCCCGGCGGCGTTACTGCCGACCAGTACAATAACACCGGCGCCGGTAGTCTGCCCGCATCGCCCAGCTGGGCGGACAACCGGCAAGACCCGCTGCACGATGCACAACGGCAGCAAAAATTTCAGCAAGGACAGGCGGGTGGAAGTGCAGTAGGCGCATATGTCAGGCAGAAGAGCAGACCTCTGAGCATCCATGGCGATCGCGGCCAAGGACAGCTCGGTGTTCCACCCGGTGGCCCAGGTGGCGGCGTGGGCTACGGCACAGCGCGCTCTCCGAATGATGGTAGGCCAATCCCCATGGGTTCGGTCGGCGAGGAAGGCGGCGAGCTGGGCAGAGGAAGGCCATGCGCTCCTGTCGACCCTGCGGCTTCTGCTAGCGGCGGTGTTGCAGATGCTTTCGACAACGCTCCTCTAGTCAGACCGAGCAGTCCTGGAGCAATGTCGGCCAAAGCTTTCAGGCGTGGTAGCGGCACATTCCGGCCTCCCTCGCCTGGCCGGCAGGACGCTGATGTGCAAGCAGCAGACCTCCAGCGTGCCGCATTGAACAACAGAAACCATCTGAATGCCGGGGAGCACGCGCCTCTCTCATCGTCTCCCGGTGAAATTGCTAGTGCCTTTGGACAGAGGCAGCAGAGCGCTCTCAGCTTGAGCATGCAAACGCAGAACAACAATGTCGACCAACAACAACAACAGCAACAGCAGCGTAGACAGCTCACTGGACCACGTGACAGCCCCTTTGCGCCTTCTTCTCCTGGGACACGGCCGCAGCAGCTGCAGCAACATTCCGGGGCACCGGGTGGGACAGGAGGCATGGCAGGTGTCGGATCAGGCTTCCGTCGCAGTAGCGCTCAAAGTGGCGGTGGCGGCACTGGCGGCTCACCGGGTCGACACGGCAGGGGTCCGTCTGGCCCCGCCGAACCTGCGTTCAGCACCATTAATGCGCAGGCTCTGCTGCAAGGTACGTCGCCGCACCGACAGCAGCCCCAGTACCAGAATCAGGCATATCCGAACTCGCCTGCGCGTCAAGCGCCGATGCCCGCGGGGTACTACTCCCAACAGCAGCAAGATAAACAACCTCCAGCTGGCCAGCAGCGTGGTGGCCTCCTATCTGACGCAGCGATCCACGGCCTACCAGAGCCTATCGTTATTCCCGCTGCGTCCAATGACCCAGGATCGCCGTCCTTTGGCCGCAAGCGCCGCGGTTCTGCAGCCAGCTATAGTGGGGGCAGTGGCTTTGGCAGCATCTCGCCGAAAGGCAGTGGGTTCCTGAACAAGGTTCTCAGTCGCGACGGCAAGGAGCAAGGATCTGCGAAGCGCCAGCAAGGCGGGGGGCAAGACGAACAAGAGGGCGACTTGAGATTCGATAAACTAGGGCGCAAGGAGGCAGAGCGTGAGCGGGGTGAGCGCGGCGCTAGTCCTGGTTTCACTGGCTTCTTCAAGGGCATATTTGGCAGCAGTCCGAAGATGGGTTCTGGCGAAGACTACGAGCAGCAACAGCAGCAACAACGGCAGAACCCCATGTCTATCGCTGGCGGACCTTATTTTCCACCTGCGTCGCCTCTCGGTCTCTCCCCCGTTTCAGTCGTTGCAGGCGGGCGGCGGTTCTTTTCACCTGCTCCAGACGCCGACGCAGAGGGCAATGGCGACCTGCTCGACCCGTCGCAGATCGTTGCGCAAGCCGAGCTGCAGAAGCGCAGGAGCATCCGTCAGGCGCAGGCCATTGTCGACGCGGAGCGCCGCAGGATCATTGAGAGCCCTTCTGCCTCCCGAGTTGGCTTTGATCCAGCTTCTGACAGACCCTGGGCGCCGAAGCAAGCACTAAATGATGGCACTCGTGCTATTGATACACTGGACGCCGCTGGCGGCGTTGCGGGATCACCCAGTCGTCCTTCCGGCATCGCCATATGGGGCAAAATCGGAAGGAAAGCGGTGCCAAGAATGTCGGAGCCAGGCGAGCCGGCTGTGGAGAGCTTACCTCATATGCCCTACGCCCAGAACGTCAGTGAAGTTGACGCGCTCGCCAGGCTCGAAGGTAAACTGACACCTGCTCAGCAGTGAGTGAAGTTTTTCAGCTGCATTCTCGTTCCAGCAGCGCTAACCAACCTTTCCATCTCAGGATCATCTTGGAGACTCGCTCGCGTCATATTGCCCAGGAGCAGATGCGTGCTCAGCACGAATCAATGCGCGCCCAGCAAGCCCAAGCCTTGGCACAGACACCAGCACCGATGCAGCCTCCAGCTCAGGAACCCGCTCCTGTCGCAGCTGGCGAACGCTTTGGCAAGGTGGCAGGCAGCGAGGATCGCGATGAGGATGTTCCTGTCCGTCGGCGGACACGTTCGCCTACCAAGTCGCCGAAGAAACGTCAGCAAGATGTATCGCAGACGACCGGCGCCCCGCCGATCAGTCAGGGTTACCAGACGGAAGAGACCGTCAAGCCACCGGGCGGGGACATCGGGCACCCCGCGGCCGGATCTGCGCCTGTCTCAACCGAGCGTCAGCAACAGTCACTCATGAGCCCTGCTCGTGGTGCAACAGGCGGCGCTGCCTTGTTGCCGGGCCGCGGCGCGATGCCTAGCGAGTTCCCCACGCTGCCACAGGCACTGCAGGAAATGATGGTGCGCTTCTACCGCTTCGAGCGGTATTCTGTGCCGCTCATCCGCGACCTCGAGACACGCTTGCTTGATATTGAGCGAGATGCGCAGATGGCCCTGCACAGCGACTCAATGAGCGCTACCTCGGCCAGGGAGCGCGAGATGGACAAGTGGGTGGGGCAGATGACTAGCCTCATGCATCACGAGGTTGGCCAGCTCAAGGCGGCCACGCACGAGATTAGAGAAGGGCGTGAGACTCTCGCTGTCCTGGCCAAGTTGCTCGTGGGGGGTCGGGACGTGTCCATGATCCATGCACACAAGTTACCCACCACGGCGAAGCCAGCCTTATCCAAGATTGACACGTCGCCCAACGAGAAGGTGCACGCAATCGGATCAGGCGAGCAGGAGAACACCGTTGCAGATTTCCCTCCTGCATCAACGGACTTGCGCGAGGTGGAACAGCAGCATGACACTCGTCAGACCAACATTTCGTCCGCGTCCTTCAACAGTGCTTTACCAGTGCCGAAGACGGATGTCCCTGACCAGCTGCCTTCTGCGTCCTTCCAACCCAGCAACTTGAAGCTGCCTGCTGGCGCAGCTCCAGCTCTTGACAAAGACGAGCTTTCGTCGCCGAGTAAGCGGATGACGGAAAGTCATCGCCGTGAGCGCAGCGCCAGCCCCTCGGGTCGGCCGAGGTACACTGCCGCTCTGGGCGAGCCCATGGAGAACGGCCGCATCTCTCCAGCTGGTCGCCACCATGTGGAGCCCTCCGATGGTAGCACGCGCTCAATGTCATTTGTTCCCGAGCCTCCTTCTGCTGGTCGATTCGAGAGGCCTGCTCGCCAGGACACGGCTTCCCCCGGATTCTCGGACGCTGGCTCCAACGCAAGCAGCTCGACGCGCATGCGTAGGGACCAGAGCGTGCAAGATCGTATCCGAATGCTTGTTACGTCCAAACTCTCCGAGAAGCCGAGTTCGGAGTCGATTGACAGGCAGCCGGATGACGTTCTTGCTGAGGAGGTTGCCGGCAAGGAGGAGCAAGCGCCGAACCATCAGCTCGAATTAGCCTCCCCTATCGGTGATGTCAATGCAGCCCCGCTTCTCAGCCCGGCAGAAGAGAGCACGTCTCTGACTGGTCAACACCTCAAGACACCTTCCACTCTCTCCAAGATCTCGGCTGGCTCGAGTGTGACATATTCTCCCGGCCGCAAGCCAACTTCACCTCTTATTGGCGGCCGTCTGTCGCCGGCGGCAGACCTTGGGGAACGCCAGCGCTCAGCGTCACCGACGTTTGTACCACCTGAGGGGAGCAGCAGCATCACGACATCCTCGCGTGCGAGCTCAAGCGTCAAAGCTCGCGCGCAGGCATTCCTGCAAGCGCAGGATAAGGCGTCGAACGACGCTTCGCCGTCGCCCAGCATGTGGCTGGGCGGAACGTACGGAACGTCGCCCAAGCGCCGCGTCACTTCTGTCCTCACCGAGTCCGAAGCGGCTCCACAGCTGCATATTTCGAGCGACGACACGACGCACGCCACCTCGCACATGCTTCGCAATGCTGTCAGCCACGGCGAGACGCGTCCGCTGAACGTCGACTTGAAGCGGAGCTTTACGCTCGGCGGGTCCAGAAAGAGCGCTGCGGGCGCCATTGATGCTGCTCCGTCCGCGCTCTCGCCTCCGGGCTCCAGCACCACGTTGCGTAAGAGCGCCATTGGGCCCGGAGCATCTCTGAAGGACCGTGTGGCATTCTTTGATTCACAGAAATCGTAATGATCTGCGCCAGCAGCAAGCAGCCCCTGCATTGTCTATGCACGAAATCAGTCTCGCATCTCTCTTCACACCTTCGGACCGCGAGCTTTGTGCTATCGAGCGGTCCGGGTACACAAGTTCCTTCGTACCATTGTATGTTGCTGTGTCAATGCAAACGTTTGGATAGCATGTCACACACGTCGTAATGTGTCTCCGATTGCTTTCGCGCCCACGGGGCGGAGGGAATGAGCTGATGGTCGTTCACGTCACGAAGAACGAAGAGGTGAGTTGACCCTTGCAACACCTGTACGCACAAGACGGACCAAGGCTTTCCCAGGGCATTCCTAAACGATTCGACATGGCAGACTCCGATTCTTTCCCTAGTGTACAGCAGCGCTGTTAGTGGTGTTCGTGGACGCTATTGTACGGTAATATAACTATGCGGGAGACATTTGCTTGATTCTGTTATGCTCTGTTCTTGGATGCCTGTTTGCCCGAGATGCGGAATGGCGACGACACGCCAAGTGAGACGTGTGGGCAGAAGTATGACGGTCAGGATGTATTGCGCGAGAATGCGATCAGCAGTGATGGTGATGATGGCATACGTGTGGGTGAGAAGGAAAAAGGGCGGCTGAACGTCCATGGTTGAAAGGCACGGCTGCTGGACCGCCCTGCATTAGCAGAGGAGCTCGATCAACTTTGCGTCGGCCGGCTCGAATGCCCGCGCGGCGGGGACGAAGGGCGCCTGGTCCACGGTGCGCAAGGAAGCAGCTGCTGCCGCCGCCGCTGCTGTCGCTACAGTCGCAGCGTCCAGCACGGTGGTGACGGCAGTAAACGCAGGCGGCTGCGCGAGCGCCTGCGCGTAGCTCGGCAGCTCATCATCTTCGACGCACTGCTTGCTAATACTTGTATTGCTGCTATCGCCCAGCGCGGCACCGAGGCACTGCTCTTTGCCGTTCTTGGACGCAGCGCAGCGACTGACATACAGCTCTGTGATGTGCGCCAGCAAACCGGCTGCGTCGCGCTCGCACGCCTTGTCGGTGCCAGCGCTGAGGCCGGGGCCGTACGCGGGAGGGGCAAAAGGCATCTGCATCTGCATTAGCATCTGTGCGGGCGTGAGCACGGTTGCGAGGCGCAGCGGCGGCAGCAATGTGGTGTGTACGCTCGTGTAGCCGCCGCGGCCGCCGCTGCCTCCCCAGAAGGACGACGTGGACGCCGCGCCGGCGCCGCTCGTGGGAACGCCGAGATCCTTCCTGGTGTTCACCGTTGGCTCGCCGCCTGCGCTGACGCTGGCGGGGGCGTGTGCACACGCGCTCGTAGAGGCAGACGCAGGTGCAGGCGCAGGGGAGCTGGCAGGAGCTGCGACAGCCGCTGCGGCTGCAGCGCTGCCGTTGTTCGAAGCGCGGCGCAGGACGGCGACGCGCGCAGTAGAAGCGGCTGCGAGGCGCGGCGAGTTGGCGCTGACGGCGGCAGTTGTCGTCGTCAGCGTGTCCGGCCTGGAAGACGCCAGAGGAGCAACAGGGACGTTGGGGGAGATCTGTTGATCTCCACCATCGGCGGAGACAGCAGCAGCTGCCGTGGTCGCTGCATTGCGCTGCAGCAGCTCAATGATCTTGTTGACGTCGACAGTGCTGAGAATGGGCACGCGCCCGCCGAGCGCCGGCTGCTGCGGTTGTTGTGGTTGCTGCTGGCGACTCTTGAGCGCGAGCACCTGCGCGCGGAGCCCGTCGTTCTCTTGCGTGACGCGGTGCATGGCGGCCTCGAGGCGCGCAAGCTGATCCTCCCTGTCGTGCAACTGCTCCTCGAGCTGCGTGATGTACTCTTTTCGGCGGTTACGAAAGTTGCGCGCGCTGATCTTGTTGCGCAGCTGCCGCTTCTCCTTGGACGAGAGCCGCTTGTACTCTTCGGGCGTCGGGCGCAAGTCCGACGCGACGAAACGCATCGACGCCGGGATCCCCGCTGGTAGCGACGCGCTTTCGCCCGAGAGGAGCGCGTCGAGCTCCGCGTCGCCGTCGCGGGCAGATGCCTCGCGCTTGATCTGCGGGGGTGCTACGGTCTTGGCGCCGGCCGAGCCGCTGCGCTTCTGTTGCTGCGCTTGTGCGTGCGATGGGGTCGTCGTCGCGTCCTCCTCCTCGCCATCTTCTCCAGCAGGAGCCAGTGCTGCTTGGGCTGTGGCGGTGGGTACGATGTCGGCACCGACCTCCGGCACCGCCGAGGAAGACGCAGCGTGAGGCTCGAAAGTGATCTCATCCTCGTCTGCCTCCTCTTCTTCCCCTTGCTGCGCTTTTTCACCCGCCGCCGAGAGCGTCACAAGGCTTGGGTCGACGCTGGGCGCCGGTGGTGCTGGCGGCGCGGCGAGCGCGGCGCAGCTGAACGGCGGGATGGCGGCGAGGGTGACGGGGTCGGCGTCGTGCATGATGCTGTCCTCCTCGGCTGCAAAGTTCCCAGACGCGCATATGGACGCGGATGTGGAAGCAGACTCAAAGGAAAGCGCCGACGTGTCAAAGCCGGCAAAGGAGGCGCTGGTGTCAAAGGTACTGTCAAACACAAAGGTGCTCATGTCTGCCTCGTCCGCTGCTGCGGCGGCCAGTCCTCCTACTGCATCTTGCTCGCTCGATTCCGCGCCGGGCGTGGCGGCTGCTGTTGTGAGCGCATATGGCGGCGGCTCCAGGTAGAACGACGCAGAAGAGAAGGCCACTGAGGCTGCTACCAAGGGCTGCTGTTGCGACTGCTGATGAGCCTTGAAGCCCAGCTCGGCAGGATCCTCGTCGAAGTGGAAGAAGTCGTCAAAGGTGTTCGCGGCGACAGGCTGTTGCTGTGGCTGAGCAGCGTCTGCGGCCGGCGATGCTGTCGCTGTTGCAGCGTTGGTGCTGGAAAAAAGCGCAGAAGCCGGCGGAGGCGGCGTGCGTGCCTCGTGCGAGTGCTCGCTTTCACCGTCTTCGTCATCGCCGTCGGCCATTGGCAGGTCGTCAGCGTGCTCCGCGCTGCTGCTCGACGCCGAAGCGGGTGAACGAACAGCGGCGCTGCTACTGCTGCCACCGCCGCCGACAAACTTCTCGTAATGGCTCTTGACATACTTGTCAAGCATGGCCGCATCGGGCTCAACGCCCATGCGGCGCAGCTCGGTCGCGAGGTGGTACCGCTGCGGGGCAGAGGGAGCAGAGGGCGTGGAGGACGGCATCGCGTTGGCGTGAGTTACCTGGGGCCATCGGGGAGAGGGAGGCCAAGGGGAGGGGGGTTGCATTGTGTACTCACGAATCGCGCTTCCGAGTTGCTTTCCGATGGTGGCAGTGTGCCCGGCGCAGCCGCTGCTGATGGAGGGGAAGTGCCTGCCATCGCTTGTCTTGCGTATGCAGTGCGATCGTCGATGGCGATGTTACTTTCAAAATGAGGTGGGCGTCGCGCGAGCACGGCCCTCGTGTTCGTTTGTTCGCCTGCAGTGCGCTGCCGGTCGTCGATGCGACGCAAGCTCGACGCAGTGGAGCGAGGGGAAAAAGGGAAGGAGGACCACTGGTCGACCCGACTGGGTAAAGAGGGGTGGATGGACTCGAGCTGTGCCTGGGGGTGCTGGTAGGATATGCACACTTTGCTCGCTTGGCTGGCTGGCTGCGAGCAGCACGACGATGGTGCGAGGGAGTTGACGTGCGTTTGGTTAGGGGCGTGTGACTGTGAGCATGTGCTCGCAGCGGGGTGTGAGGTATGATGGAACAGGGGAGGGAATGATGAGCTGAGGGGGCGATTCAGTCCAATCCGATTGAATAGGATGCAATTACATAATAGTAGCAATCGTGATAGGGTTAGTACAGCAGCAGCAGTACCAGTTGGGTGTTCAGTGGACACAAAAGGATTATGCGCTGGATTCTGGATTCTAGTTCAGTGCCGCTCTCCCTCCCCCTTTTGTTCTTCAAGGGACTCCCCCCGTTAATCCAAATCGATTGGCTGACCAAAGCGCAAGCCGCTCTCCTCATTCCGTGGCGCGAGGCGTCCCGCCGCCTTCCATCGCCTTCCTCGCACCAGTGGAGTCTGCACACTCTTCCACATAAACACCCGGTCTCTCGGCCGCAAACGCACCACCTGTTTATCTCCGAGCGTTGACACACCTCGGTTATACCGTTTAGGTCTGGTATTGGCCCGTGTTCGACTGCGCACTGCGCAGTACACATTCTCTCCAGTATCCTCATTGCCAGGATAGCATTGAAGCAAGCAATGATAAGCAATGCCATCATCTCACCACGCACACAGTCGCACCAGCAGCGGAACATCGCTGCGACCTCTCTCTTATAAACTACCCTCTGCATTGGCGGTGAATACGTCGTGGAATCATGGCGCGATAAGCACCGGGTAACACTCAGGCGTGCTAGAGTACTACATCATGTAGTCGCTGGCCTCCCGCATGGAGACATGTACATATAGAGGGGAGCGCAGGCAGACCGTCATCAGACACACGCGTAAGAGCACCACAGCTAACGCCAGCCCAGCTGCAGAACCACGCGCAGACAATCGCGGCCTAGTGCACGTCCACATATTCTGTATCGGAAAGAACCATGCATATATGCATGCATGTACGCGTAGCGCCCGAAATCGAAGCTGCATTCTGAACGGGTGCAGGTGCAAATGCAGCCTAAAATACATACCGGCTCGGAAGAGAAAGTGCCGGGCCACGTGCTCACACAGCCGCAACAGCAGCGCCTGGCTCCGCCGCCGCCGAGGTTAACCGCACTGGCGTCACCATGGCATCTGCGACCTTGATCGCGAGCGCCGCGTCCGCCCCTGGCGAACGTGCACGTCGCGCGAGCGCCGGCAGCAGGCTCTGCGCAATCTCGCCCGCGCGGACCGCGCAGACGGAGAGCAGACTGTCGCTCAGTCCATGCGTGGCCTCGTTGCAGCCCATCACATAAATCTCGCCGCTGCTGACACCTGCTCCTACTGCAGCCGCTGACGGCGAGACGCTGCGTTTGGGCGAGACAGTGCGACTGTGAAGCGTCACGCTCGATGCGAGCGACGCCGCGCCCGTCTGGCTCCTGCCGCGACTGGGCGGGCCGCTACCGACCGACTCGTTGTCGCTCGACCGGCGGCTGCTCACCGCCATCGCGCCGCGACTCGACAAGGTAGGAGCATCATCATCATCATGTTCGTCTTCCTCCGATTCCGCCACAGGCGCAACGCCTGTATTGCTATTGTTGCTGCCGAGCGCACTCCCAGCGCCGATACCACCGCCATACACCTCCGAAGCGTACGGCACGAGGCGATACCCGCGCGTGACGCCGCGGTTGCGCTCGCGCATACGCTCCGCCAGTGTGGAGGGTGCGCCTTCAGGCGGCTCGTCGTAGCCCTGTGCGAGCACGCGCTGCGCCTCGTCCTGGGCGACGGCGGGAAAGTGCTCCTTGAGCGCGCCAAGGCACGGCAGCGCACCCAGCTCGCGCGCAAACCCCGTGCCAAGGAAGAGCGCGTCGTACGCCTGCGTCACGGTGGCGCCAAGGGCTGTGCGCGTTGTCAGACGCACCTCGCCCGTTGCGCTGTCCTGCTCGACGTGCTCTAGCGACGTGTTGGCGACGATGCGCAGGCGCGTCTCCGACGGCCCGTCCGCGCCAGGCACAGGCTGACCCAGTTCGATCGTGTCCTCGTACGCGAGCGTGAAGAGCTCGTTCAGCACGTTGCAGCGCACGACCGCGTAGTTGGTCCGCGCAAACTCTTCACGCCAGCGCTCCCGCGTCGCCATGTTCGCCTGCCAGAACCGGCCCCTCGCGTCGGGATCGAACGCGGCCGCGTTGACGAAGCTCGAGTCGTCACTCGGCTTGATCGCCGGCGCGCGAAAGAGCAGGTCGATTTGCGCGCCAGGGAACGTTCGGTAGAGATGCAGGGTCATCTCCGCACTGCTCTGCCCGCTGCCGACAACTGCGAGCCGGAGAGGCGCGCCGCCGTCCAACTTTCTCAGAAGCGCAGAGCGCGCCTTGGCCAGCGACGGCAAGAAATGGCCCGAGTGGATGATCCGCGATGGACCGTCGGAATGCGGCTGTGCAGCGTACAGGTCGCGCACGGCGGGCGGAATTTGCGGCACGCCGCCGACTGCGATGCTCAGGTTGCGCGTGCGCATTGTCCTCATCTTGCCCGTCTGCGCATCGCGTACCCTGACGCTGAACGTCTCCGGCGCGCAGTCGGCCGCAGCAGGCGCGTCGGCGCAGACCGCGACAACCTCGCTGCTATACTGCACGACGCCGGGGACCTCCCGCTCCATGCGCTCGGCACACCAGGTGAGGTACGCGCTCCACTCGCGCCGGCTTGGGATGCTCGATGCGCGGTTGACGTACGATGCGAGGCGGCGGTGCGTGAAAAGGTAATTTGTGAATGTGAACGAGGAGCACGGGTTTCGCATCGTCGCCATGTCCTTGTATGGTGAGACTTGCAGCTGCGCACCAGGCAGCAAGAGCGATGTATGCCTTCAGTATTAAAAGTGAGAACATCTTTCTTTCAGCTGCTTGTTCTTCCCACACGAAGGCTTGCTGGGCGGACTCACCACGCAAACCTGTCACTCTTCTCTAGCCAAACAGCATTGTCGAGGCTCCTCCCTTGTGCTTCTAGCTCCTCGCGCAAAGCGATGGAAAGCGCCAAATTTGCCGGGCCTGTGAGCGGAAGAATAGAGTGACGGTGATATCAGATATGCTCTTGTTGCCCATGGAAGGATCAAGGATCCCTCACCATAGCCCAAGCCGATCAGGTCATAAGTATGTGCTGGAGATTCAGCCTCAGCGGCAAAACCACGCCGTGTCTTGTGTTCCATCTCGACCATTTTCGCTGTGTCAAACCGCCAGGTGTGTGTAGGCGCGGCTGCCTTGGCCGCGTCAAGCTTGACCGTTGTGTATGACGTGGCCTCAGTGTACGCCGCGCTACTCCAAAACGAGCTGAACCGTGCAGGCGGGGGGGGGGCTTAAAATATGGATGGATTGAGATGGTCAAGCGCTTGCTAGCTCGATGGCAAGCTCAGAAGAGACACTTGGCTCAAGCGGATTCGGACTGTTCAGCGACGGTCTGTACAACCGTTGCCGTTGATAAAGGCGACAACGGAGGTCGGTGCTGGCTGAAATGGCAAAATCGGCCTTGAGCCCCTTCAGACGTTGATTAGTTAATGCCGAGTCTGTCGACAATTCAGTGATACAAGTTGCTGACGAGGACGTACCGTGACCTGCAAAGCTGTGTTCTTGCTCAGGGCCGGTGGGTGTGCAGCGTTGCGTTCCTCGGATCCCGAACACGTCAATGCAACTTCGTGCGTCTAGACGGTCGACGATCAACTCGATGGCGGATCCCTCGATACAGGCTGTAGCGTTTCTGTTTGAGAGTCTTGTAAGATGTGCGTCTCCGCGTCTCCGATGCAGTCAGTGTCGTAGTCGACGCGGGTCGATGTAAATGGAGCAAGTCGATTTCGAATGTGCTGCAGCGACGGCGGACGTATGATGGTGCCAAGGATTGAACCCGTTCGGCGAGTGCAACAACAGGTCTGCAAGTCGCCAAAGTTTGTCAGCAACATTTTCGCAAATCAATCTCGGTCCCTAACTGGCCTTGAAGTCGATCGAAAGACAAAAAGTCTGGAATCACAGAGCGCTGACCCTGATCGTATAGACGCAAATAGTGATCGAGATTCACAATCACTCTTTGAACCGTTGCATTGCACCGATTGCTCCGAGCAACTCAACTCCTCCATGGCTTCGGGTAAGGTTGCAAAAGCCCACCTGCTCGATTGAGCCCGTGGCAAGAGACGCTTGATTCGACTGGGAAACCGTGTCATGAAAAACAGCAAAAGGATAGATTATCCCCTAGCCAACAGACTATTTCAAGCTGCTCCCTCCCTTCGGACAGCAGGGTCTGCGTCGACGAGCCGTCTGACGAATTCGATGCTGCTACGCCAGGCGAGGGCCAAATTGCCGAGCCCGAGAGCAGCTTGACGCAGACAGGTGAAGCCGCACTCCCCCGCTAAATTTCTGCCATTTTTACGAACGTGTGCTTGCGAGAAGGCAGACTAAAATGGGGGCGGATACACCAACTCACCGTCTATCGAAAGTCGAACAACAGCGTCGAACAGCTTTTTCTTCTATGCGAAAGGATGATATGCAGTGTGCCGGATGCAAAGCGGCAAGCGACGGCGAAGAGAGCGAAAAGGGCCGTCTATATAAAAAGCATTTTGTGCATATGATGTGTTGAAACCCGGTCTATGCATGGTCTTTTGCGTCGTGCCAAAATTGGCAGTGCGCGCACGAATCACACCACACACACAGCAGCGCTGCCCGCTTGCCGCGGTGCATTGTCCAATAGGACATATGCAGGTCACATCGATTGGATCCACGATTCATCATATCAGATCTGATAAAGAGCCACCGGCATCCGTCATATTGCACGTAACATTCGGTCCAGAACGCCAGCAGGCACCAGTAGTTTCGAAAATTTGCATGCCTTCTCGTGAAAATTTGAATGCCTTGTTGTCCTTCCAAGTGAGATATCGTCTAATCTGCTCCTTTACTGCAATTCGCAGCTGCCAAGCGCTCGAGCGGAGCAGCAAGCACATCTCTCTGTCTTGGCACCTCGATCGCTGCTACCAATGCCTGCCCTTTGATGATCCACCGATGACGGTAGATCATATACATCAGGCATCGGGTATCATCGGACACGCCATTGGCCATCGTTTAGCGTCTGGTGTCCTTGCACATCTGAAAATCGCATTCACTGCATCTCTTCTCAGATCAGTTTCACAGATGGAGCGTTGAAGCATTACCTGGCTAACTAGCGCACAGCTCCCACGGGACTGCATATCAATCGCACGTAGATTCCGCGATCTGAATGAACAACTGCGAAAATCACGTGTCGCAAAGCAAGTGCCTCCTAGAAGAAAATTGAAGACCGCACAACACCATCTTCTCGTCTACCAAAGCATATAGAGAGCCTGACAAAAAGGTGCACGGCATCGAGCGGTTGGTAAACGACAGCGACCATGTCAGCTCTCACATCGCTTGTCTCACCTACCGCGCCGACACACTGGCCAACGCTATTGCCGCCATCCGGTCGAGGGGGAGACCTGCGCAATGTCTTTGTACCACGATGTGACCTCATTCGAGATGCTTGCGCCTCTGTACTCGGAGAAGCTCAACAGGAGATCGGTGGGACCCTCAAGATTACGACCCTCGACAACGTCTCGCGGGAGGCACATGGACATCACTATCCAGCTTTGCTGGTAGAGCTTCTCATCGCTGGATTGCCACAATCTTGCCTGTCTCTTCTCATATTCCCGTCCTCCTCAATGCATCCCTCCAAAGTGGACGCAATGCAAGAATTATCCGACAACACGTGGCAGAACCGCTGCAAGCAGCTGTGGGGTTCTGTTGCGCTTCTACATCAGGCACCCAAAAGTGGGCAGACAATCTCGCACGATGAAAGGGACGTGCCGGACATGCTGTGGCTCGCCGCTTGGGTCTATTTCGAGCTTTACAAGGGCGAAGAAGGGCTTTTCCTGCACTCTGAATTCCATGGAATCGATGGCAAGCCCATCGGTACAGCGTTCGCGGTCACACTTGGGCCTGGCATCCCTACAAGCGAATCCGTCTTCTCCAACAGGAAAGACTCGCCTGCAGCCACATCATTGCGTGATGGACCGATCGGCCTCGTGATCCATCGCTCTACATTCTGGCAATCATGTCCGCCGTCATCGCCATTCATCTCGCCTTGGGTTCCATTACAGCGGCACACGTATGGGGACGGCGCGTACACACTCATGATGCCTTCTGGAACGCTGCGCAACGCAGGGATCAAGCCAGTTCCCGGCAGCATCGTCTACCGCCGCTACATTCCAGAAGTCGCCCAGCATCTGAGCTACCGGATGGTCTCGATCGGCTCTCCCGAAGCCGGCGAGGGTGCGCGCGATGGGCCTGCGTACTCGCGCGACGTGCAACTCTGCGCAAAGTGGCAGAATAGCGATCGCGTCCATGCCGGCTGGCGCCAACGTGATCCAGCTATGTCAGCGCACTTTGACTGCATCAAGGAGATCGTCGACGATCCTGCACGATTCGGCTTGATCGGGTACTGGGATGATGAGCCGTGGGGCTTTGTCGAGATCTACTTTGCGAAGGAGAGCAATGTCGCGCCCTTCTACCAGGTCGCAGACAGGGACATGGGCTTCCATGCGCTAGTGGGTGAGGCAAAGTACAGGGGTGCTCACAGGGTGCGGACATGGATGGGTGCTGCTGTGCATGTGAGTCACTTTTTCTTTCATGCTTTTGCAGGCAGTGCTCTGGCTAAGCTGACACCCTTTGCGACCACCCGAACTCCTTAGCTTTGCTTCCTGCTCGATCCGCAGACACAACTCGTCGTCTCGGAGCCGCGCGCGAGCAACACCAAGATGGTCGAGTACGAGTGCATGGTCGGCGGGCACGTTGAAAAGGTGGGTAGGCGGTCTGTTTTCCCATCGATTCCAAAGCCAGAATGCTTACATGGCGCATGCACCGATTATTCTATCTCTACACAGCTCATAGATCTCGGGCACAAGCGCTCGGCGCTCGTCATGATCCCGCGCGAGCGCTTCTTTCAATTATGTCCCATGGGGCCGCTGCCTCAGCAGATGGAGGCCGCCAAGGCATGGGAAGGGTAAGCGCAGAATCGAGGGCCAGTGTAATCATAGTAATTCAATGTGTTATTTGGGCATCCAAGTGAGAAAGCCTGCGAAATGATGCGGCGTGCGGATAAGACTTGATCATGTTGGTCAGCTACCAGCGCGCAGACATCCAATCGAAGGTGTTTAGAAGGTTCCATCAGAGCGTCGCTAGCTCTCCTTTTGTGAAGCGACGACCCGTGGATCTCCTTTGAAGATTAGTACAGCATGGCCTTCACCCATGAACGTGTTCCACGTATGCTCACGGTTGACGATATTGCAGCTCGCAAGGTACGACTGAAGTCGTAAGTGCACAGTAGAATACGTTCCTTGGGTCACGCCCTGTCTACGGTGCCTGTAAAAAGTGAGTAATGCATCTCGCTCCCACATTGATGCGGCGTACGTACGACTGTGGGGTCCGCTCGGCTCGGAGTCAGTGAGAGCCTCAATTGCCTTGACCCAGATAGCGAGACGCGAGACAAGCAGCATGAACGGCTTGACATCGAAATTGATGAGTACTTTGTTAAAGCTTTTATCTGTTGTACGGCTTTCGGCCGAGAGGTCTACGCGTCACTGCCGAAGAAAAAACGCCGATGATCCATGACCGACCGCATTGATGAAAGGAATAGTGGTTTGCCGCTGCCCAATACAGAGGAATATAATGAATGTATCTTCGTGCGAAGCGAACGATCCAAGCTGCTTGCGACAGCCAACGCTTTGAAATTGACCTCTGTACAATGGATGAGCTTTTTCGGATGTAAGACTGGTAGTTCTATAAAATGTGAACAGCTTGCAATATCTAGGCGAAGGAGTTGCCCCCCTTTGACGCCAGCGCAGCAAAACTCGAGCCGGATGATCCTCTCAAGCTGGACCCACCTGATCGGCTTCATCGCCGCCGAAGCTGGAAGTGAGTACTATAGGGAGCCAGCATCGAAGACGCAAGACATCGGGCTGGCATACTACTCGAAGTATGCAATCAAAGCCCACATCCTCTTGCCGCAGCCGACAATCTCAAAACCCATCGCGTTTCTTGCCTCCTGTGCACAGGGCCGCACGACACACGGTCAGCGCATCGTTGCGCGCCTGCTGATACCTTGGAGTCGCGAGCAGATCGGTACGACCCGTGCTGTGAGCACCACCTTTGTGCAACCGCCCGAAGAAGCCAAGGCGCCCAAGGAGCAATAGCGCGCGAACCACGAAGCAATCCCGATCATGTTCTATAAGCCCCTCTCCACGTTTTCCTGGCTGTAGGACATCGACGTTGTGCCCCGTGCCGCACCTCGCAAAAGGAGGGCGATGAGACCGACAACAAAGCGGAGCTCATTGTGGTTATGTGAAAGGATGTCGTTTGACCAGTCATAAGCGTACTTCCCCATTCGCGTCGATCCGAAATTTCAGAGAAATATTTCGCACGATGCGGCTTTTGATTAAATTGCAGCCTAGAAGGGGTTCACAAAGTGTGGTATTGAATTAAGTGTATTCTTGTGCCGTATAGCATTTGCTTTTCCGAGTACGCGTGAGCATGCGCTGTATCATGCCAGCTTGTGAGCCTTGACTTCCCGCAGTTCGTACTCGACCTCGTCCCGGATCGGTTCGAGCGGTGCTTGTGCTTTTGAGCCCGACATTCTTTTCGCAATCACAAGAATGAAATATTGAGCTCGGCGTCCCCTTTATTAGCCGGCACGTTGCCGGAGTTACCACACCTGTGAAATACTCACAAGGACAGAAAAGTGTTCCACCCAAGATTGACGACGTTGACGAATAGCAGGCGTTGTTGAACTGGGACAAAGGCCATGTTAATCACTTGCACAGGTGTCCAGAGCATCCAACCTGTTTTCAAAGTGGTCCACCAGCTCTGCGACATCGTAACCAGTAGAGAAGTGCATTTCAGTCCCAAAACAATCATTCTTTCCTCTCTACCCGCTAGAGCGGGAATAGAAATCGAATTCAACCAAGGACGTACCTCATTCAGCTTCTGCTTCACATCTCCTTGTGAGCCACCTGCCATGATGGTGGTTGCGCTGAAGAAGACAGCTGTAAATACTGGTGCTGCCACGCTCTGATCAAGAGCGACCTGAGAGCAAGTCAGGCGGAGCGAAGACATGTTAAGCATGATTCATGTCTTTCTTCACTGTGTAAACATGTGAGCAACGTCACCAGCCAAAGATCATGCACAAACCTTTGTGACCACATTCCCCGCTTTACTACCCGTGTTCACTCGCTCTAGCACTTTCCCAAACCAGGTGCTTGCAATCGGCGCGAAAATCAATCCTCCATAGGCGCCCAGACGTAAGGTGCGGTAGATATCGTGCTGCTTGCCTTTGCGCTCAACAGCTTGCTGCGCGATCACATCTCCACTGTAAAGATGAGTACCCAGCGGCGTTCTGAGCAAGTGTGCATTCCTAGGTCAAGTTGAAGCAATGTCACTCACGTCGCAAACAGAACACCTGCTGTCGCACATTGCCGAGGTAGCGTTGCGCTTGTCGCGGCGAGGAAGCGTGCAAAGCTCATCTTTGATATGTCTGCCGTGATTTTCTATAGTGTGTCGTAGCTTGCAGACGAGGTGAAGCCAACGCTGGGAAGTGACAAAAGTGGGTGCGACTGCTATGAGGGCGTAGGATTTATAGCTCCTAGGTCTCTTTTCGGCTCTTGAAACAAGCGACCTGCGCTGAGTTCTGCATCCGGTCGTCTGGCCGTCGCCAATCCAGTCTATCCAAGTAGAAGGGCCAGCCAAGTTGGTCGCAGCCGTCTTACCGGGGGGTGGGGGGCAACGAGATGCATGTGTATTCCTTACTTGGTCCTAGAAGGCAAGTATGCTATCTTGAAAAAATGTAGGCAGCCTATGGGAAGCGTGCGTCATCGACAGGCGCGGAGCGGCCTGCGGGGCACAGTTTGCGTGGCATGGTCACTGTTGTAGTGCCGGGAATCAATGTAGTAGTAGTTTGAGCGTAGTAAGAACGCCTATTTCAGTTGACTGGCAAGGTGCCGTGCCGCCAGGTGAGGGTGTATAACAACCCTAAGGCGTTGCCAAATTCAGACACCGTTGCCCAGCCGCCCCACCCTGGGAAGGTTATCTGGATAAGCGCAAAGCCGCCTCACTATTCGGGTGCACAATGCAAACTATTTGGAAGGGTGATTATTAGCACGCATACGACTGATGAATACTGAAGTCTGTGAAGATATGAAATTAAAGCTTCCCAGATGGTTGTAACACGCCGATCCCACAGGCTGCCGAACTATGTATGCTACTCTCTGCTGCCGGCCTGCAGCCCGAGGAGCATCATGACGTGGGCGCAATTTTGGTGAAACGCCTCGGACCATCCGGAAACATGACACGAGAGTTGCACACTTGCACATCCGATCGTGGTGTCAGGCTATGTATACGCACACAAGGGGCCCAGGTCCCTACAGGGCCCGGTCAGGAGAGTTCGAGACTCTATGAGTAGGCCGAAGGGACCCCAATTGGTCTCGTCAAGCGTTCGCGACAAATGTCGTCGAGACGTACGATGGGGACGTAAATGAGGCTCGGCCGGCCCTAGGCAAAGTCAAACCCATCGCGGATGCAAACGACTGGGCAAGCGTCGGCGGCGCCGGCAGGCAGGTACCACCAAGAAGTTCAACGGCGCCTATCCGCACGGAAGGGATGTTACTCATTCGTGACAACGTCGATAGCCAGGCTCCTTCAACAAAAGGAGCTATGGACGTAACCTACACCCAGGCGCGCGGCTGCGCGCTAGTTCACCGTTGAATGTCAAGCAGCTCATGCCGATCTGCCAATTGCAATGTCACGTGCTGTCACTGCGTTGGGCGAGGTAACTACGCTCTATCTTGCCATCGCCCACATCAATCACAGCCAGCACCAACCGCACGACAGAGGCAACCAGTCAATAACCTCTCCACGTTGCAAGTTCGCACCTAAGTTGGCCTGCATTAATATCCATCGGCATAACGGGCCGTGCGCAAGGAGTGTACGGGCAGACGAACCCAGTCCTCGAGGGGTCCTCTTCCGTGCTTTAAAGTCGCAGCGAAAAGAGTGATCGACCCCGCTGGAGCTTGTGCTGTGGCGATGGCGGTCTCATTGTCCTCGAGGACATTGGTGGAGGATGCTGTGAGTACGAAGTGGCGACGAAGAGGCCTTAGAAGCTGCGGACTAGTTAACTCTGATGTAAAGTTGGAGTTGATCGAGAACGTGTATATCTCTCCTCGGCACCCGTCATAGCAATAGGCTTTATGAGCGGTTCAACGATGAGCTTCTCCAAATCTTGCCCCAAACTGCTTAAAGCCACTGGCTCGGTGGACAACGGAAGGGTTCTGTTACTTCCGGGCATACTTCTCGCCTATCGCTCCCACTAATCACAAATTCTGGAAGCGTCACATGTGCAATTTGCTTTCGGGAAGTGCCCTTGGCGGCCATGTCAGCCAGTGCTGAGATCACACCGCTCAAAACCCTTGGTGTGGTGACGCAGATTGTTGCCGCCGTGAGTGGGGGTAGCAGCTCATATAAGCCGTTTAGGGCGACATGTTTGCTACACTTGACAGGATATTCCGCCTCGACGAGTTTCGTGAAGATTGGCCACTGCATTGGTTCAGCGTCCGGCAGGGGAGCCCAGGGAGAAAGCGCCGCAGTAGCCTCTTGGTACATGTGGTGCGGTTCATGCTAGGGGGAGCCCTTGGCCTCTTAAGAGAAATGGCCGCCCGTGATGGCCGTTCACTAGGTAACAGATGCTGCTATACAGTAAGTCTACCTTGCTCTGAATATGCAATTGCGGCTGGACCCCTAAGGCAAAGCAGTTGCTCTGCTAAGCATTTGTAAAACGTTCTCGCTTTTCACCACATTGTCGACATGCGTCATTCACCCAGGGTATGAAGCTCAACGTCGTTAACGCTGCCCACATCAAATATGTGCCTCATCCTGTCCTGTAGATTTGGATTCAAGCTGTGCGTACATTATGAGTTTTCAGGGAAGCTTGAGGACTGGTACATTATAAATCACATCCTCAAGATTCCATGACTATTGGGATCTAGTATTTCTGTCTGCGGAGGCTGCTATTCTCTAACATCCAGTGAAGAAGAATGGGAGGGGTCCATCTGAGACTCTGACCTCCAACGCTGGAGGTACGATCCGGTCGAGAAAGGAGAAGCTATCTTGACCATGAGCATCGGCGACTATCAGAGGGAGCTGGAGCCTCTAATCGAGCGAATGACTGCATTGCTCATTCATACTATTTGGTGCATGCCTTCGGGCTGGTGCTGATCCACATACTCAGTTTTAGATTCCGCTGGCGGTGTGCGGGCAGTGCTCCCTTCTTCCCCATGCAAATCATAATTCTCCTTGATGATGGAGGCAGATTTTCAAGTCGCCAACACACTGGTACACAGGCATTTAATGTGATCGTATCGAGCCCAAACTGCAAAGCCCTTTCGGGCAAATATGTGCAGGTTGCTGCGTGCGGGGAGACACATGGCATGAATAGCGAGTTTACAAGCGCGAAACGAAAGCGTCGCGAACAGGCAGAGTGCTATCAACCAAAGCAGAAGGGCGATGCCCATTAAACCTTGACACCCGTCCATACGCTCGCCACGCCAAACGTGAAATCCTCCCAGGCGCCCTCCACGTCCAAATTTCTTGCGCGCTGCTCTTCCATCGCCTGCTGTTGGCTGCGAATGACGCTCCCCAGTCCGGGAAGATTGCTCGCAAGCCCAAGCCCAAGCTGGCCGAGTTGCCCAAGTGCAGATGCATCCGGCGAGGCGAACGGCTCCCAGCCGAGCGAGCGTGCAGCGGGGCTGCCAGGAAGCGCGAAGCCTGCGGTCCGGATCATACGTGCAAAGTCCGCTTGCGAAGGGAACCGCTCGATCGACTCGATCAGGTACTGGTACGAGTCGCGGTCTCCAGCGAGGACGTGGCCCATGGATGGGATAAAGGTGAAAGAGTAAAGGCGGTAGAGTCTGCAAATAGAAAAAATTTGGAGAGAACCGATCTTTGCTCAGCATGATGTTTCGCACGGCAAGAGAGGGCGGCAACAAAAGCGAGCACTCACTCGGCCAACAGTGGAATGCCGACCTTGCCAAACTCCAAGCATGCAAAGACACCGCCTGGCTTCAAGACGCGATGCGCTTCCTGAAGCACGCGATCGATGTGTGTGCAGTTGCGAATGCCGAACGCGATCGTGTACAGATCCAGGCTGTTGTCCGGGATCGGCGAGGATGTGAGTGCCGGCAGGCGCGCGGCGCCCGCTGTTGCTGAAAGTTGTGAAGGGTTGCTCGGTGCGGAGCGTGGCGGATTTGATGTGGGCGTCATGGGTGTGTGCAGCGACTCGGCGTTGCCGAGCGCAAAGCTAATCTGTGGTGTCCCCCAGTACATTGTCTTTCTTAACCTCTTCATCCCTTCGTTGAGCATGTTTTCGTTAATGTCTAGAACCTTGACGTTGATCGTCCGGTCTCCATACGTGTTTCGCGCGTGGTCGAGGATTCGCATCGCAATGTCGCCCGTGCCACCGGCTACGTCTAGGACACTGATGCCGCCGCGCGGGTCCAAAATGCGTGAGACGAACGCGTCCTTCCACAAACGATGGATGCCCAGGGACATTGCGTCGTTCATCAGGTCGTACGAGGAGGCGACAGATGAGAAGACACCACCTACGAGCGTCTCCTTCGTGGACTCAGGTATGGTGCGGAAACCGAAGTGCGTTGTTGGATCTGCTGCGCCACCCAGCCCTCCACTCGCTGCAGAGGAGCTTGAGGCAGGGCCACCTGCCGCCGCGGCCGGAGCAGGTGAGCGATGAGCTGCCGAAGGGCTGGGTGTCGAGCTGACACTAGAAGCGTCAACATTCGGGGTGCAGCTGCTGCTATCCCGACGTGAGGCCGAGCAGTACAAGTGGCGGCATGGCGGCGCTGCGCTTGGCCACCGCAGGACCGCTTCCGAACGCGCATTCAGCCTCAAAAGCAAACGCATGGTGCTGCTTGTGGAGGGCGACGGACGAGCCATGATCAGACTTTTCGCGGACCCCTTAGACCCTAAGCGCTGCGTTGCTGTAGACGCTCGCGTCGTACCAGTGCTCTTAGTGGCCCATCACGAGCACACAGTGCGAGAGGTGATAGAGATTGCTCCTCAGCTTTTTGCGCGAGCTTCTTCCATAGATATATCTCGTGCGAGATGGGGCTTGGGACTTGAGGAAGCGGGAGCAAGCGTTCAACATTTTAATTGTAGGGCTGCAGCAAGCGACTGCACTATTAGGGTTGTGTTCTCACAGCCTCAAGTCCGAGTGCCGAGAACCTCGCTTGCATTCTTCCGCACCACTGGCACACCCACGCCAAGGCCACATCACGAGTGCAAGACGAGACGTCACATCAGATTACAGCTCATTCCTCCATGCGAAGAAAGAAAGAATCAGGGACAAGTACGAGGCGAGAAATTCCAAAATCGATGGCGAGGGGGCGAGTCTGCGAGCGCTGTTCGTTTAACGTATTAGCGACTGATCTAATCTTCGGTGATCAGGCGTGCATTATTTAGCATGGCTACAATGCGGCAGTGAGAGAAGTTTATGGCTCCAGTTGACGCACGCTTATCAGTCAATGTCTGGCTTTGCACGCCCACAACGCATTGTTTCGGCCACATCCAGCATCACTGCAAGATCTGATATCCTCTCGCAGCCCTTGGCACGATTGCATGCTTGGCCAGGTGTCTTCGATGGTTTCTCTCCAGCGACATTAGGTCCTATTCGACGGTCAGACCAAGGCTCGCTGCCTCCACACATCCACCAGCCACCTTTTCAGAGCAGTGGCCACGCCTAGAAGGGTTCAATGCAGCCTCCTTCATATCCACCGTCTTCACTACCCTCACTAGCGCACGATGTCCAAGATGAATCTGCAGCAGTTGATGATTCTGGCCGGCTCACGCCAGAGCCGCGGACTCCTGATCAACTCCAAGGACCTCAGCTGATCGACGCTTCTCCCCCGTCTAGTAAGACCGTTCAAGAGCGGAGGGCCAAGCAGAACAGAGGAAAGCACTTTCCAGATAAGCGAAAAGAACACAGACAAAAGCATTTTAAATCACATTCTGAGGGTTCCGAGAACGACAGTAGTAACAACGAGGACACATCCCCGCTCCTCCCATTCGGTCATCTTCCTTCGGAGAGCTACGCTGAGACAATCATCCAGCAGCCACTGTCAAATAAAGCAAAAGGCAAGCAACGCGCACTCGAAACTGGTGTTGCTGTTCCTACGCGAACGCAAGCCGCATTGCAAGTCAACATGGCAGAGTTACAGGTCTTCCGAGAATCGTCGTCCCCACCGATTCGCATCCCCAAATTCGATAGCTCCGAGGACCAACATCGGGCTGAGCAATGGACAAACAACGCGGCACCGAGGAATGAGGATGGTGATTCAGAGGAGTGCCGGTGGCAATGTGAATCACACAGAAGGAGCAGCTTCGATCCGGCCTTGCTGAAGCCTGCGCCATGGCGTCGCCACCCGCACGCCCCGAGCATCTCCACTGAGGATCTCGAAGCGGTACCCCAGGCTGGAGGAGGAGGCTCAGACACGCCGAAGAGGGCAGGACTGCGCGCATTCATACACGGAACATCAGGGAAAGGAAGCCCAGCGCCATCGCGAGCAGCGAGCGGCAAAGCATGGTGGCCCTGGGACGCTTCCGTGCCTTCGCTGTCGACTCCATCGCTGCTGCCAACCTGGGACAGTCGCCACTCTGGTCGATCTCGGCGCTACTCGCATCCAGAGCCTCGGGTTGTCGACGATGGCGTCTACAAGAGCGCAAAGCCAAGCTTGGAGTATCATAGCGGCGTAGCACAGAATGCGGCTCCGATAGATACGCACCAATGGCAAACTGCAGCGGCCGCTGTTGTCGATGAGGCGCAGGACCACGCATTGGAAGGACAACAGGGCGGCTTGGATGACTTTGCGGCTATACATGAAGGACTCGTTGCGGATATGAAACGAGACGCTCATAATGTGGACGCTGCCGTAGAAGGACAAGTGATGGACGAGGCATCGTGGGCAAGCAAGCCTGGTGATACGGAGAGGAAGGGGAGCGAGAGGGACGGCGCACACTCGCTCGTTTCATTGCATACAATCCGTGGATGCACTCTTCCGTGCACGTCAGCTGGCGAGGCTTCCGACATACCAATTATATCGACACCTTCTCCCTCAGCAACGCGGAACTCGAACTACTTCACCCTGTTCCTCGACGGTGCAAGAGGTGCAGATTGGTCCCTGTTGCTCGTTGGGACGCTCGCGGCACTTGCAAGCGGCATTCCGCTTCCCATTATTGGCGTCCTCTTTGGCGAGCTGATCGACGGATTCAACAGCGTCTCATGCTCCAGCGCACAGGAGCGTGCTTTGATGGACACAAAGGAGCTGCTGCGCCTGTTGACTGTACGTGCGCTATCTTTCGCGCAAGATGCATCACCGCAGGCGCTGCCGCCCGACGAACAGGCTGCATTCCTTGCCAATGTCGTCGTCAAGGTCAAGCTTGTGAGGAAGAGAAAAGCAAAAAAAAATCAACGATCGAAATCTTGACAGTCTTTTGCTCTCCCCCCTTTGGGCTTTACACAGATACTTGCAGCGGCCGCCGCCAACTTTTTGCTCATCTGGATCTACACAGTTTGCTGGTCGCTCGTGGGTGAGCGACTCGTGAGACGTCTGCGCGAAAAGTACCTCCGCTCTGTCTTGCGTCAAGAGATGGCGTTCTTCGACTTGGCCAAGCCAGGCGAGATAGCGACGCGCCTGTCTGCGGACTTGCTCACCATTCAAGTCGGTACGAGCGAAAAGTGCGGGATCATGCTCTCATCTCTCAGCTACTTTTTCACTTCATTCATCGTTGCGTTCATCAAGCTCCCCGTCCTCGCCGCGCAGCTGCTTAGCCTACTTCCTGCTTTTGCGATCATTAGCCTTATTGGCAGCAAGTACGTCGGCAGGTTCAGCACGCTCACGTCTACGCATCTTTCGCACGCATCTTCGCTCGCGACAGAGGCTCTCGGCAACCTTGCAGTCGTGCAGGTCTTCAATGCTGAGGAGAAGCTCACGCGCATCTACGCGAAGCATCTCGAAGCTGCGCGCAAGAGCGGCTTGCGAAAAGCCATCGCTGCGAGCTGCATGCTCGGCTGCCTCTTCTTTGTCGGCTACAGCGCTAACGCGCTCGCGTTCTACTCTGGAAGCAAGATCATTGCACAGCGACTGCGCGACGGCGTGGCGGGTGCTGGCGTCGGGTCCGTCTACACGGTCATCTTTTTACTCCTTGACGCTTCTTTCATCATCGGCCAGATCGCGCCTTACATGCAGACGTTTTCGCAGGCCAGCGCTGCCGGCAAAGGCTTGTTCTCCGTCATCAACCGGCCCTCTCGCATTGATGCCATGTCGACCACACATGGTCTGTCTACGGATCCAAGTGCTCTCTCGGGCATCTCGGTCTCTTTCCGCAGTGTCACCTTTAGCTATCCCTCACGCCCGTCACAGAATGCAGCGGATGCCATGGATCTCGAGGTTGACGAGGGCCAGAAAGTCGGCATCTGCGGGCCAAGCGGGAGTGGAAAATCCACCGTGGTTGCGCTTGCCTGCCGCCTCTACGATCCTGCCGAAGGGCAAGTGCTCATCAATGGCATTCCTGCCACGGAGCTAAACCCGCGCTGGCTACGCTCGCAGATTGGCATTGTTTCACAGGATCCCGTGCTCTTCGACGGTACAATCTTTCAAGCTGTCGCGCTTGGCCTTCATGGGAGCGTTGAATACGAGGAGTTGTGGCCGGCCTTGAAAGCACTGTCAACGGGCCAAATCAGCGAGAAGGACCCAGGAACCTTCGCCGCTGAGATGGCACAGATCAAATCGCTCGTTCGGCACGCTGCCGACCTGGCAAATGCCCGTGGATTCATCGAGGAGCTCGAGGACGGATATGATACGCGCGTCGGGGAAGGCGGGGCTCGCTTGTCTGGCGGTCAGAAGGTGCGCATTTCACTAGCGCGTGCTATCGTCAAACGACCAAAGCTGTTGATCTGGTGAGCCGAATGTCATCAATGCTCATGCCTCTGCCTTCGAGGAATCTCTGACTTGATCCTGCATTTTCGTCAGTGACGAAGCGACGGCTGCGCTGGATCCCGAATCGGAAAAGCTTGTGCAAGAAGCGTTTGACCATGCAACTGAGGGCAGGACCGTTATTTCTGTCGCCCATCGCCTTGCGTCCATCAAAGGCCATGACAAAATCGTCGTTGTCAGCGCGGGAAAAGTCATCGAGCAGGGCTCACACGATGAGCTGATCGCGAACAAGGGTGCGTACTACAGCCTTGCTGCAGCACAAGACACCAGAAAGGTGGACGGCGGCGCAGATGAAACCGATGCACCCGAGCCTCACCAAAGGCAGGCACCTGTGGAGCTGAACGGCGCTGAGCCTGTGGATCAAGCAGTTGGATCGATCAAAGTAGACCATACCCCGAATGGCACCCACAAGTCACCTGGCGTTTGGATCCGTCTGGCTGCCGCGTGTCGTCCAGAGCTGCTATTCGCTTGCATCGGTGTTTTCACATCTACGGTAATTGGTAGCGCCTACTCGGGCGAGGCGTTTATCTTTGGCAACGTCATTGATGCACTCAATCCATGCAAGGGTATTCCCGCGATTCGCGCCAATGCCGACTTCTTCGCTCTCATGTTCTTTGTGCTGGCCTTGATCGAGCTGTTTTCGTACTCAATCAACGGCAGCTCATTCGGGAAAATGGCAGAGGCCCTGCTTTATCGTCTGCGACGACTTTCCTTTCTGGCGCTCCTGCGCCAGAAACAGAGCTGGTTTGAAAACGACGACCGCTCCCCTTCAACTATTGTCTCGTCACTGGCCGCTGATGCAGCTGCGCTTGGCGGACTCACAAGCACCGTCATTGGCACAGTGTGCGCGATCGGCGTCAACCTAGTCGTCGGGCTAATAGTCAGCTTCATTGTGTCTTGGCGCATTGCGATCGTGCTTGTTTGGACCGTTCCATTGATGATGGCTGCAGGCTACATGCGCCTGAAAGTACTGGCCGACTTTCAACGGCGTCATGCCACTGCCTACCGCGGCGCAAATGCTATCGCCGTCGAGGCGGTCAACAATATTGGCACCGTCCAAGGTCTCGGCAGCGAATCGGACGTATGCGATCGTTTCCAGCACGCTCTCATCACTCCATATCGAGAAGGTCTCCGGCACATCTTCGTGGGAAACGTCTTTCTTGCCGGCGCCTTGTCCTTGTCGTGAGTATTTCTCAGATGTTCAAGCGAAGCACATCAGGTGACAATTGGTGTTTTGCAGGTACTTCATCTACGGCTTTGCATACTACTGGGGCTCGCGTATGGTTGTCGCTGGCTATGCGACGCAAATCGACTTCTTTATCGTGCTGCCAGCCTTGCTATTTTCCGCTCAAGCAAGCGGGCAGCTGCTGTCCTTCTCCTCAGAGTTCGCTCACGCGCAAAGCTCTGCGCAGCACATTTTCAGCATCATAGATCAGTCCAGCTCTTCGAGGGAACTTCATTCTGGCTCTTCAGAGAAGCTGTGGAGCGACAAACCGAGCTCGACACCGTCACGCTCACTGGATGAAGAGTCTTGGGAAGGAAACGGCGTGTCTACACCTGCCGGACCCATGGCCATCTCCTGCCAGGGCATTTATTTTGCCTACCCCAGCCGCAAGGATCCTGTCCTCCGCGGTGTCACCTTTGACGTCGCACCCGGAAGTTTCGTTGCACTAGTTGGACCCTCTGGATCGGGCAAGTCCACCTTCTTTGCGCTCTTGACGAAGCTCTACAAGCCCACTTCAGGCACGATTCGCATCAATAATCGTCTGATCGAGGACATACCGGCCGATCGTCTGCGCCGCGACATTGCCATTGTGCCGCAAGAGCCGACGCTATTCTACGGAACGATCAGGTTCAATGTCGCCTTGGGCGCACGCGACGAGCAAGTTAGTCCAAGCGCCGAGGACGCAGACTGCGTTCCTTTGGAGGAGGTCATCGCAGCGTGCAAGATGGCCAATATCCACGACACAATCATGACCTTACCTGAGCAGTACAATACTCTGGTCGGCCTCAAGGGTGGACAGTTGTCCGGCGGCCAACGGCAACGGCTAGCGCTAGCACGAGCGCTCCTTCGTAAGCCGAAACTGTTGCTTTTAGACGAAGCGTCCTCTGCGCTCGACGCCGAGTCGGAGCGTATCTTTCAACAAACGTTGCAGACAATCGTCCAGTCGCGCAGCTGCACGATTGTCTCCATTAACCACCGCATGGCGACCATAAAGGACGTTGATTACCTTTACATATTCAATCGCGGCACTATCGTGGCATGTGGGACCCACGCGCACCTGATGCGTACCAGCGAGCGCTTCCGTGCGATGGTCAGCCATCAATCCTTGCTCTGATTACAATCACATAGATAGACTGCACACCACGTCACATCACTGTATTGTACGCGTACGCGAGCCACCTGCATCAATAACGAATAGATCACAAGCAGCGGATGCACATTCGCTCGTGCTTAGAAGTCCCCTACGTCGGGATCGAAGCTGCCGGCCCACTCTGGCCGGAACGTCGGCGATAGTGGCGTGCTCTCTGTACTGCCACTGCGAGAGTGCGAGGGCCCGCGCCCGTCAGTCGTGCCAGGAGGCCTACCGGCATCGCTCTTGGCGCTCGACGCGTGGCCCCGCCGCGGACGCTCGTGATAGCCCATGCGCCCCTCTTCCACTGGCGCTGCTGCTGAGCTTTGCAACGCCGGCGCTCTGAGTGCTGTGTCCGCTGTCGCTGCCTGCGTGACGTTGCCGTTGGCCCACTTCACCGCCGCCGCCAGCGGCGGAAGCGGAGGCAGCCTTGCGGCGCTGCTCGCGCTGCTGGTGATGAAACTGCAAGCCGTAGCGCAGTCCGCCGCTACTGCCAGTTTTGCGTGTGCCACTGCCGCTTCCGCTTCCGCTGCGCCCGTCGGCGCTGCTTCCCTCGCCATCGCCACCGTCGCCTGTACCGGCGGAGACGCTGCCACATGTCGAGCGCTGCCGGCCACCGCGGCCCTTACGCGAGTGCTTTTTGCTGAACCCGAGTCCGGCGATATCGGCATCGTCCTCGTCCTCCTCGATCGCCAACCATGGTTGCAGCGTCCTCTCGCCCAAGTCGTCGCCGTTTTCGGCCGGTATCGCGGTTGCAGGCGCGCCACACGCGTCCAAGCCCGCGTGGTGCAGCGAATGGTGCGCGGCGGGGACCAGGCCGAGTGCCGCGGGTGACAGCGGCTGTGCGTCGTCGTCGTCGTCATCGTCATGCACATCGACGACTCTGAGTCTCGCAGCGTCCCCGTCGCCATCGAGCTGCTCTCCGTCGCGGCCGAATGCACGCTGCTGATACGGCTCGCCGCGCTCGTCGTAGTAATGATGGTGGTGGTGCACGACTTCGGCGGCGGACGCAGGGAGCCCTTGGCGCAGTCTTTCGCGATCGTGCTGCTCCTGCTCCAGCTCGTACGCCGCGGTGGCGCGCCGGACATCATCTTGCGTGAAGCCAAACTCGTCCAGCTGCTCTTGTGCGAGTGCCTGCGCCTCGCTCGAGCCGGCAGCGGCATCGCCCAGGTCGTACCCGAGGTCGAATCCGCCGGCTGCCGCTTCCGCTTCCGCCTCGGTCAGGTAGCGCCGCTTGGAGACCGACTTGCTGGAGCGATACCCGTGCCCGTGCCTGGATTTGGAGGCAGACTTGCTCGGTGAGTCTCTGATGTCGCTGCTCGCGTGCGAGAAAGCATGTTCAAGCTCGTCGGCATGCTTTGCAGCATCGGTGGCCACGACAACTTTGGCGAGGGGGGTGTCTGGTGTGCGTGGTGCCTCGAGGGACTCGACAGGTTCCTCATTCATATCGGATGCATCTGGTGCCTCTGTAGCCGGACACGGAGGCTGGACGGAATGAAGCTGATGGTTTGGCGCTGGACCCTCCGTAAATGGCTCGTGGGGATCGGCAGCTGCAGCTGTCGCGCCGCCAGGGCTGGCGTCGAACGGGGGCTGTGCAGCCGCCTTCTCCTCTGGCCGTGGGGCCCGTTGATCCGCACCGCGGCCTGTCTCTGCCTCTGCCTCCTGTTCTGCGATTGTGGCCACAGCTGCAGGAGGGCCAACTGTGTTCTCTTGCTCAGCCCCACCACTTGGCGGGTTGTGCGGCACAAGTCCAGCGCGCAGCGCCTTCTCCCTTGCCGCCTGCCTTGTGCGATTCACCTCCTCCTCTTCCTGCTCTGCCAGCCGCGCCTCTTCCTCCGCCTGGTGTGCGAGCACTGCTTCAGTTTCAGCTTCTCCTGTTGTATATTCGGCGGGATCTGGCTTGGACCGCTCGGGCTGAACTGCGGGCGCGGGTGCCGCCAAAGTTTGCACTCGCGCCGCGGCGGCAGTCATGTCAGGCTGTTCTCCCCTCGCCAGTGAGGCTATCGCGCCTTCGTCGAGCGCCGCTGCGTCACTGTCAACCACGAGGCCTTCATAGCCTTGCAGCGTGGCAGCAGACAGCGAGCCAGGAGGTTGCGCTGCGCCCTCCAATTGAGAAGCCGACGCCAGCGTTGCCGTTGCCGCTGTGCGCTGTGTTCTGCGCTGCGTGCGGACGCGGCGCCCCTGCTCGGCCCTGATCTGGGCCTTCGTGCGGCCGAACAAGCCGCAGGCCATGCTGCCTACACCGCGGGTGTCCCACGGCCACGCGTACAACGGGTGGCCGAAACGCGCGAGCCCCCGCCGCGGCATGCGCGCCGCGCGCCGCCGTGCGTCGCGGTGCACAATGTCGGACAGCATCGAGATGGCGTCCGCATCGTCGAACTCGTCTGTGGTTGTGGCGGCGCCGAGCGCGTCCGGCTCTGATGCGCTGTTCGTGGCTACTGCTGATGTTGAAGAGGAGGAGCAAGGAAGGAAGGAGAAAAAAGGGTTCCAGGCCTTTGTGCGCCGCGCGACGGTTGATGTTGCCGTCTGGCGCACCGTCGCGGCGCGACTGCGGCGCCACGCTCCCGCCGAAGGCCCAGCGAAAGATGGACCGCTGCCTTCATCCTCCCCATCCCCCCCCTCGTCTTCCGAACCGGAGAACGAGCCGTCAGAGCCGAGCAGGCTGGCTTCCTCGTGGCTCGCAGCAGCACGGTGCTGGCGCGGGCGCCCTACCCGGTGGCAGGCCGGTGCGTCGTGCTCTGGGCTGAAAGGGTCGAACGCTGGCCGTCTCCACCGGCGCTGGGAGGACGGGAGACAGAGCGTGGAGAGGTCGAGGAGGTAGGCTGCAAGCGAATTGTGGTTTGGCGATGCCATGTTGCCACTGCGATGTGGGGATCCTGCAGTCACGGTCTTGAAGGGAGCACCGGCTCGAAAGGTGGGGTGCGTGTGATGCCTGGGAGGTGTAGGTGGAAAGCAAAGCCGTACGAGTGGTGCGGTTGGGGTTTGGCGAGGACAAGGCGCGCCACAGGAGCAAGGGAGGAGGGTTGGGGGTTGAGGCAGGCGAGCGGGCAGTGGCCTCAGCTCTCGTTCTCGTCACTGGCCTTTGCAAGCGTGCTGCAAAGCTGCCCAACCAACATGTGCCCATAGAAGGACGCACCAAGCGGGAGCGGGGTTACCAACCATAGTTGAGCGGGGTGTGGGGTTATACTTGCGTGCTTTTTCCACTTCTCACGGTCACCAAGAGGGGGTTCTCCTATACCGCGCCTTTCCCAGGCGGCTTTCACGGCCGGGGGAAGTCAACCCCCCTGCAGCCGGGCCCCTTTGGCTTTAGGGTTACAGTATGTAGCCCCACGTAGCACGTTTCACTTTGCGTGTTCTTCTTAGGGTTGCATCGTCCAGCGAGGAGAAGAGACCGCAAAAGTTGCCAACCGCCGGGGAAGTGGGAGGCGGTGCTGTGCGTGACGGCGGCACCTGCGGACGAGTGCGGCAGTGCCGTGTGCCATTTTTGGGAGGGGGGGGACAGCAGCCGCACAAACTTACACTGCCTGTCTAAGTGGCAAAGTCGGGCAGCACAGCCCTGCCACTGCCACTGTCACTGTCGCTGGAGAATCGCCCCCTAGGACGTTGAGTGTGGCGCTGTGTGAGCGAGTGCGCGCTGCGGCAGCATCACTCCCACAACGCGACAGCAACACCAACAGCGCCCTTGTCGGCTCTCTCTGCGGCTCCGTCAGACAGGTCGGACAACAGGTGGCCCTGGAACATTGCATTGCAATGCAGCGCTGCACCTACCATCTCCATCTCCCAGCACGGGACATACATGTCCATGGTGGTGGCGACAAAAGCATGAGCTACTACTTGGTATCACCTTGCAACTAATGCAGCAACGACACGAGCCTGCTATTGAAAGGTTCCGTCTCCCCATCGCCGCTCTCGCGTGCGACCGCCACTGTCCACCCACGACACCTACGAGACCGCACGGCGCAGTCGAGCGCAACGTAGCGTAGCTCAGCTCTCCTTGCTTGTCCATGGCACCCCCCAAGCGCCCCACCATCGGGCTCGAGGAAGGAGCCCTTCGCATGGCAGGCGGCGACGAAGACGTCGAAGGCCAGCACGGCCCCGCGGCCGGAAGCAGTAGCAGCTGCCAGCCCCCCGTCGCAGACGGCAAGGCAGCGACCCGACAGGCGCTCGCGTCGTCAACCGAATCGGCTTCCTCCCCCATCAATGAGAAGAGCAACAGCAGTAGTAGCCACAACAATAGCAACGCAGGCGTACTCGGTGCAGACCCAGACGTAACGCCAGACGCAGACAAGAGCGGGCACGGGCACGCAGACGACCCGTCCGTATCGCACGCGTTGCCGCGCAAGCGCGTCATGACCAGCGGCACCGCCGGCACGAATACGCACACGCATGTGCGCAACGGCGACGCTCCTGGCCTTGGTGGGCCCGGCGCCGGGCCGCCGCGCCGCGCGACCATGGAGAGCGCTGTAGGCGGAGGCGCGCAGCTGGCGCGGTGAGTTCGTGTACCTCTGCTGCATCTGCTTTCTTTACGCTTGCCGTCAGCTCATCGTCGTTCTCTCCTCCCCTCTCCTGCCCGTCCCCGGCATCTTTCACTGCGGCATCTCCGCGGCACATCGCCTCCTTTTGTGCGCACAGATCCTTCACACTACTCTTGACCCCAGAGCACCGCCTGGCGCCCGCGCCCACGACATTGCGCTCGATCCGGAACATCATCTGCTACTCCTGGCTCAACATGTTGCTCATATTTATCCCCATCTCGTGGGCGCTGCACTTTGGGCTCGAAAACTCGACCGTCGCGAACAAGGACGTCATCGTCTTTGTCACTGCCTTTTTCGCCATCATCCCCCTCGCGCAGATGCTCAGCCTCGGCACAGAGGAGATCGCGCTGCGCGTCGGGGAGACACTCGGAGGCCTTATGAACGCTACGCTCGGCAACGCCGTCGAGGTGAGCACACCGGCTGATCCCCGGCTTCCGCATACACACTGACCCCATCTGCTCGTCTTGCTTACAGCTCATTGTTGCCATCATCGCCCTCTTCAACTGCGAGCTGACCATCGTGCAGACTTCGCTGATTGGCTCCGTCCTCTCAAACGTCCTCCTCGTTTTGGGCATGTGCTGTGAGTCCGCCTGGCACCTCTTGCCGCCTCTTTCTCGAGAGCAGATGAGCCACATGGACTGAAGCGGACTCGCCCTATTTTCACCCCCCCCCCTTTCAAGTCTTCGCTGGCGGTCTTCGCTATTCGGAGCAGACGTTCCAGGTTACCGCGGCGCAGATCAACAGCAGCCTGCTCGTCATGGCCGTCATCACTGTGCTGCTCCCCGCTGGGTTCCACGCGACGCTGGGCAGCCTGCCGGACTTGACCGAGCGCGCGGACATCCTCTCTTTCTCGCGCGGTACGGCCGTCATCCTTCTGACGATATACCTCGCCTACCTTTTCTTCACTCTCTCCTCGCACAAGCACTTGTTCACCGGCGACAGCGACGAGGAGGAGGAGCCGCAGCTCAACACAGGCAGCGCCATCGGGCTGCTCCTCGTCGCCACCGTCCTCATCGGCGTCACGTCCGAGTGGCTCGTTAGCGCCATCAACGGCGTCGCCAACGCCCCCAACGGTCCCAGCAAGACCTGGATCGGCCTCATCCTCCTCCCCATCGTCAGCAACGCCGCAGAGCACGCCACCGCCGTCACCGTCGCTGTCAAGGACAAGCTCGACCTCAGCATGGGCGTTGCGGTTGGCTCCTCGATCCAGATTTCGATGTGAGTGTCCTCCCCCCCTTTCCCTGTGACGGCGCACGTGCTCTCATATCCAGCACGACTGATGTATCCTACGCGTGTGCAGCTTCGTCATTCCGTTGCTTGTTGTCATCGCGTGGATCGCAAACAAGCCTCTTTCGATGCTGTTCGACCCATTCGTCTCCATCTTCCTCTTTCTTGCCGTCCTCATTGTCAACAGCGCGATCCAGGACGGCAAGACAAATTGGCTGGAAGGCTACCTGCTCATGATGGTCTACGTCATCGCAGCCGTCGTCTTTTGGTACGTCAACCCGGACGACCCCGCGTCGGGCTACGTTAATTTATTCTCGGACAGCCAGTGCACTAAGTAGGGCACGCGCACACGGCACATCCACCCTCAAGGGAGAGGGAGACGAGTACGCCTGCCCTTGCATTTCGAGGCGGGTCTTCTTTCTCTTACATGCGCCATCCTCTCACCGTGTCTTCTCCTTGTGGCAGCCGCTGTTGTCATTTTCGCACTGATACAATTTATAGGCAGTATTCTAATACCGGATCATTCCCCTCAAAATGAATGAGGTCGACGTCATGCACGTCTGCGTCAACTAGACTCTTCCCCTACTTGCGAGGTCGAGAGCTGGCTGGTTGGGGTTGCGTGCTACGTTGCCGGCTACCCCGGACCATGTGCTGCTTCTTGGTTGACCGGATGGAGACGCTCCTCCCGTTGAGGGTCGTATGGACACAGGTTGGAACGGTCGATGCTGCGCGCCCGCCCCTGCGCTACGTGTTGGGTTCCAGAGGCTAGGCCGTCCGGCTATGGGCGACGTTTGGAGAGACGTGTGCGAAGGCGCCATCTCCACGCCAATCGAGAGTTTTCGTTGCAGTCGCGAAGATTCGGTACCGTAGAATTTGAGGCTAGAAAGAGCAGCATGTGCTCCACTGTTGCCAATCCATTGTGCAGAGCTTCGGGTTGAATATCATGTGCAGCTCTGTAGATTTCCAATGACGACAAGACACACGTCGCATCCAAGCCCGCACACTATTCCGTCATGACGCGCTTCAAATGCTGAGGGTGCTTGCTGTCGCCAGGAATTGCCCGATCAGCGGTGCCGAGCCCAGTGGTTGATTGATCAATGACCGACTCGGACCGATCCCAGGGGTGGCTACGCCAAGGCCGCGACAGATCAGTAAAGATTGCCAACTTTATTGAGGAGGCGCCTCGACTTACACTCATCATGACGAATCTTTCAGAAAGGCAAGCCTGCTTGTATGTGCTTTCTCTTTGCGCTGATGGATGAGCACCCGCGCGCTCTTGATGGATTCCACCAAGCCCCGCCTAGGTTGCAGTCAAGCCTGATATGCTACGGTACCTTGCTTGTACGCCATTTTTTCTGCATCCTCGTGTTCTCCCAAGGTGGTAGTAGACCATTCAAAGTTGAAAGCGGCGAGAGCTACCCGGCTCGAGGGAGTCCGACGCTCCGTTACAATCAAGCAATGCTCCGATGCCATCTGGAAGCATCGGTGCTGTCCGAATGTCGTTCACAACCCACCTTTCAAAACCATGAGTGATGGTGGCAAAAAAATTGTGCTGTTCGAGTTAGCGAAGTATGTGAATATTGCCTGCCCATCTTTGAATAGGACGTCGAGACTGGCGCACGAATCCATAGTTGATCGGGGGAATAAAGGTGTTGTTCGTATTTGCTCTCCATGCATAGTAGCATGCAATTAATGGCACGTCACACACGACCCAGTCGTGACTCCGCAACCTTTGCTTTGTGTCTGGACCTGACCAAACCCCGCCAACCACTGGAACCCCGAACCCCGAACCCACTGCGGTGAAAACAGTTCGCTGCTCGCACGACTACGCAAGCAACAAAGTCCTTGCGCCTCGTCCGACTGTCGATAACGAGGGCCCCTGCGTCATTCGTCCCAAAGGCATCAGCTCGTGCCCCAAGATATCTTTCTTAACTTCGTCGCGCTCCCATCTGCTAGGGACAACAAGACCTGCTGCCGTTCCCAACGGACAGTAACCCTGCAAAACACGGATGTCAGTACACACAATTTTGTACCCTGCGATCTTCCCTGACCATTGTCTTCGATTGTATTGATGTTGCCGCTTGGAGCATTTTTAGTATCTCGAAGAAGTACATTTGGAAGGCTGTTGGCTTCGACTTCCGCAACAGGGGAGCGATGAGACTTGAAAGGGCATGTGCAATGCTTAGTGTTTAGTATGTGCGACTGGGATCGTGACAGACGGCGGTGGGAACCGTGTACGGTGTAAGACACCAGTTACATATCATCCATCCTCTTTATGAAGTGCACGCTCGCGTTTCTCGGTTGGAGTCATTTGATTATACTGTTGCGACCGTTGGCGCTCACAGTAGACCAACCCGCAGAGGTGCAGAGGCACTGTACGAAGACACGGATAATGGCTAAATGTATAAATGTATAAATGTCTGTGGAGCATACAGGTATATATCGCCTAGTCAACCATGGGTGGAAGAAGGGAGACGAGAGGCACTGGTGAATGTGCTGATGGTGAATTCATGTTCCCGATTTCTTTTCCGTCCTTCACAACAATAACCTCTCCCCCTCAAGCAAATTTTCACCTTGCTAGGCAATAGGCCATACCCAGCGGGAGTGCGAGACAATTGTCCCGTGCCCACTAGCCAAAGCGTTCTTGGTGTCGCGCACCTGCTTGGCAATGAAGAAGGGACCCTCTGTGGAGAGCAGATGTGTCCCAGCGGCCGCGCCCGCTAGCTTTGCCTTCAGGACTTTCGCTCCGACTGGGAAGCGTATGAAATGCTGATGTTGCCGATAGATATGAACAGTGTCGGGGAGCGTGAGAGTTGGCAGGAGTGCGGAGCGCGGGCAAAGAACAGGGTCATAGGTTGTGCTCCTGCTGCCTCCGAGTGGATGGTATTCAAACTATGGACGACCACGCCAAGCAGGCGAGGCCAGTTGTCTTCCTGTAATAGTGCCGTGAAGCAAGGATCCGCCGTGCGCACCCGCAAGCCCTCCTTCACCTTTTATACTGGGGCCTCAGGGATGTTCGCAGACGGGTTGCGTGGAGAGGATGGCACGCGTGTGCAGCATTGCGCGCGCGCAAATTGACATCAACGACCTTGCTCTTGAACTCTACCGGATTATCGGAGGTTAATACCGCAGGCGGACCATCGGGTCCGAACCAAGGAGTGTGCAGCGCGAAAGCCGCATCGTGCGCTGAGCGGGGATCGATCGTACCGGTGGCGATTTACCCCGACGCTAGGTGTACCAGGACGATTAAGCTTTTTGCGGAAGCTGCGTTCGTAGGGCCAAAGTGCTCGTAACTCCGTAAATGTGTTGATCCACACCCGGCGGCTCGCGGCTTTTTGTCGCTAGCCGCGGCGGCGCCACTCTGCGGGGTAGGCTTCACTTTTTTACAACGGCACCTCAAGTCAGCCGCAGTCGCCGCCAGGGATGGGAACCATTAGGTGCGCCCGAGTGCGAGGACAAGACTTCGCCCCCGTGGCCGCGCAGAGGGACCCTTGCACGGATTGCAGGATGTGCTCGATGTCAGAGTCTGGGATGATCACCACCAGTCTGGCATTCGCGTCCCCGTCGGAAGTTCGGCACGATCGAGCAAGTCATCCATGAGGCGGAACTGTTGCAACGTACCGCGCTGTAGGTGGGCTGGGCGCGTTCCCATTTGTGTGAGATGAAGGCCAGCGAATATTCGGCGCCGTCTGGGCAGACGAACAGTGATCCGTCGTATTCGACGAGCGAGGAATCGGTGCGTACTAGCTGCTCGCCGGATGTGTGGAGATGAAGCGAGGATGCCGCGACAACAGCCGCCCGCATTGCCTCCCATGCCGACTGCAAGTCATCATTCCAGCGTCCGCCGATGGGCGATGGACAGAGCGCAGGAGAGTGCTGCCTGAAAATGCTTTGGGTGTAAGCACCTGATGGTTCCGCCAGCTCCGCACTGCCCGTTCACTCCACTTTTATCTACATTTCAACTGCAACATTATCAGACACTCTGAGCCTGCTTGCAGCGCCTTCGTCTGTTCTCGCGCGCTCTCCTTCTCTCTGTGTATATACACTCACAGTCTTCCCCACCCCCTTTCGCTGAGCTGAAAGTTGTCGGCAAGGGAGCAAGCAGCAGGTCTCGTTGATGTTCGACACTTTGTCATAGTACTTCTACTGGACTCTGGACTTGGCTCCGCTATTGCACATCCGAGTCCTCCCGAGAGGCACCTTCCTGCAGGACTGCCAATGCTACTTCGGGCCTTGCAGCTGCACCGGGTCACGTTTGGCGCGAGGAGTTCCTGGCCACCAGGTCGGGCCAAGTCCTATGTACACACGAAGGCGGCTCCCATGGGTTCCAATGACGTGCTCGGCCCATTTCATCCTTGCCATGAAGGCAGGTGGACGATCGAGAGGGGCACGTTTGCAGACTTTGGCAGGCCAGTTCCCGAGCGCCACATGCACGGGTGTGCCTACGTGAATATGAACATGAAGTGTGGGTGCACTCTGCAATTGTATCAGGATCATGAACCCAAGTGAGCATCGCACCTGTTGAGCGCTCGAGCCATTCTCATCGTAATGCCGATGATGCCGAATGGGGCCGGGGGAGCCACAGCCACTCCTAGGGCGAGTGTGGCCCATGCCATAAACTTAGATAGACTGTTCCTGCTGCTTCTTCATGGCCTTGCCCTTTTTTCCTCAGGTTGATCCTCACCCACATGGCCCGTCCAACGCACTTCTCTTCACGGTACACTCGCTGGTTGAGTCGTCCATCCCCCTCCCGACGAGAACAACGATGACTGCCACAATTGCCATCGCGCTCATCGCTGCCTCTGCCACGTCGTTGGCCGCGCCCGTGCCCGAGCACATGAATCGCCGCGCCGGGAAAGGCGGCGGCTCGACGCCCTCCGGTACGCAGACTTCCCCGCCAGCATCACCACAGGCGCAGAAGTGGTCGGCATCCTCCGGCACACTGGCTCCCCCGCCAGCAGAACCACCCACCCTCGCTGATCCCGAAGCAGCCGAGCGCGCCCGCAAGGCCCAGATCGACCAGACGAATATCGACCTGTTGAAACAGACGAACGACATTACTAAGGTCCAAAACAAGAAGACCAACGCCCTGACTGCTGCGGGGATCGGAGTTGTGGCCGCCATGGTCGGGGGAGTCCATGCTGCCTGTCCTCTTTTTCTCTTGGGTTCTTGAAGGGCTCTGGACTGACACAAATGACGTATCCACCCGCCGAGCAGCGCTCAAGGGTACAACGCTAACGTTAACGCCAACAAGGCCGCATCCTCACCCGCACCCGCATCTAACGTTACCGCACCGCCCGCGCACAGGCGCAGCTTCATCGACCTGTACTACACCAATTAAGCGAGGGAGGCAAAGAGGCCAAGCCAAGCATCAATTCCGGTCAACGCTCCGCGAAACCTCAGCATGAAAGGCGATACCTATCATTGGAAAGCAAACATGGGGAAATGGTGATCAGAGACCTGACATGAAAAAAAAACTAAACTTAGGCAAAGCAAAGTTTAGCACGCTGGCTGTCGCCTATAATCACTGTGAAACCTAAGGAGAGGGTCGTTGGGGCGCTGCACGGCGCCACACGATGGTCAACAATGCGATAGATCCTTTCATACCTCACATATATCCCCTACCATCTTGCCAGCTTCGTTACTTGCTAGGAACTCACGCTACGCACTGCCGTAGTCTCACGTAAGATCCATGGAGCGTAAAACGAGAGCACAAAAAGGGAGGCATTCGTTATGCATAGCTAACATCCCGCTCGATGGCTTTGGCAGGTTGCATTTCTGATGCAGAAGCTAGACATGAATGTTTTCCCTAACTTTTGCGGCACGCCGCATGCTACACCTCGTCCTCCATCAGTCTGCGCATCGACTGCAGATGGATCACAAGGTCCACGTTCGACGGTGGCCGGCAGCGAATGCGGGGTGGGGTGAAGCGATTGGCGCGGAAGGGGCCAAGCGAGCGAGTGTTTCCGTGGGTGGTGTGGTGTGGTATGGCGGGTCGCTGAATCTCGGCGAGAATGCCTGTAAGTCAGTCTGGCGTTGATGGGGGATGGAAATGTACAGCTTGATGCAGTTGGACGAAGCGTGCAGCGGGGCGTGTGATGCATGTTGAATGTTTTGAATAATCTACAAGGCCTGCAAAAGAGCGCCGGCGGCGTCGTTTGCTTTGGCGGGGTCGTTTTGGGGGATGATCATGGTTGAACGCGAAGAATAGGTGGCGGATCGGTGTAATGCTGCTTTTTTTCTCCGGCTGGCACAAGCACGGAAAAGAAGAAGATGATGGACTGGGCTGGGCTGCTGCGACTTGCAAACAAAGAACGTTCAAGTTGAAGTGAATCTCATTATAGGCGCAATGGTGGTTCTCGTTAACGGCGGTGGCGTGCTGAGGGGCTTGAGGCTAGAGGGTGATTATGATAAAGTCGGTTCTGAATGTATTTTTCTTCGGGGAAACAGGGAGGGGGGAGTCCACGTTGAGTGGGCGGAGAAGATTCGAGAGGCGCCTCAGTTGAACGCTGCGCTGCCGCTACCCGTCTTTGGCAGCACCGAGTCCTTGAGACCTTGTGCTTTGTGTACGAGGGACGCGCTGGTGTCATTGATGGCCTGCGTGCTGCCGTTGACGCCGCGGTACCCGTTGCTTGCGCTGGCAACGTCGAAGAAGGGTTCAAAAATGGCGTCCTTCCGCTTAAAGTCGTTGTGCACGATGTTGACGAGGAAGAAGCGGTCGAACGTGTCGTTGATTACCTTGCGCGCGACGCTGTCCACGGGGTAGATCTTGGCCCACTCGCGCCCTAGCTGGTACGCCTCGTCCTTCCACGCAAGGAACGAGATGCTCTCGACGATCGTCGGCTGGATGATTTCGCAGTGCGGGAAGACGCCCCAAGTGACGGCATTGGGCGACTCACTGTTGGTGTTAGTGCGCATGTCCCCACGCGCGTTAACGGCGTGGTAGGTGAACTGCGCGTCGGACTCGATGCGCGTGATCAGCGCATCGAGCTGCTCGGGCGAGACGAAGAACTCGAGGTAGGCCTTCTGGTAAACGTAGCCATTCTTGGGGCCCCAGCCATGCACAGGGTCGGTGCTCTTTGCGCTGTCGACGGCGGGCTGCGAGTTGATGGTTAGGAAGCCGAGCTGGTTCATGCGGACGAGCTTGTCGTTGATCACGCTCGTCTCCTTTGCGATCCCTGTCTCGGTCCAGGGCAGCGCCTTGACCTTGCCGGCGCAAAAGTCGCAGAACAGGCGCCGGATGTCGTCGAGGTTCTGCGGGGAGCCCCACATCTGCTGGCCCTCTTCGGGGGTCCAGTGCAGCTGCACGCCGTACGCGTCAAAGTCACCGTACGCAGGCGAGCGCGCATCACCCCAGCGGCCATTGGGAAATTCGTCCCAGGTCTCCGTGCGTGAGATATACGACTTGGCGCGGTTCGCCCAGAAGATCGGGCGGATGCCCTCGTCGCGCCGCTTGGGCGTCAGTGACGGCGTCCAGGGGATTGGGCGCACTTTTCCCACATCGGGTGTCAGGCCGAGGTAATCGAGCAGCATGCGTGGGCCACGCTCGAGATTCATAGTGTAGATGTGCAGCCCGTGGATGCCGAGATCGCTCTCGATGATTCGGCGGCACATATCGCCGACGAGGCGCGTGCCGACCTCGCGCACCTTTTGGTCGTCGTCCTTGACCGGCTCGAGCGCCGCATAGAACTCCTGCGGGACCTTGGTCCGGAAGCGCGCGACGGCGCGCTGAAAGCCGCCGTAGTTCTGAATCGGCATGACGCCGGGGACGATGGGGCAGGTGATGCCTGCGCGGCGGACCTTGCGGACCCAGTCGTCAAAGATGTCGTAGTCGTAGAACATCTGCGTGAAGATAAAGTCGGCGCCGGCATCAACCTTGTCCTTGAGCCGCTGCATCTCGATCGCCTCGCCATCCTTGGCTTCAATGTGCCCCTCGGGGAAGCCGGCGACGGCAATGGCAAAGTAGTCGCCGTGCTTGGCGCGAATGTGCTCGACGAGCTCCTTGGCGTACGTGAATCCGTCCGCGTGGCCCTCCCACTCGTCCTTGCCGAGCGGCGGGTCGCCACGCAGGGCGAGGATGTTGCGGCAACCGTGCCGGCGCGCTTCATCCAGCGCGTGGTCCACCTCTGCGCGCGGCATGTTGGTACATGTGAGGTGCATGCACGTCTCAAGCCCCATGTACGAGTGCACCGTGTCGACCAGCTGGTAGGTCAGATCGGCTGAGCCCATGCGGAAGGTGATGTCGACAAACTCAGGCCCGAGCTGGCCCATGCGCTCGATGCGGTCATCTATGTGCGAGGAGCGTGTGGAAGAAGTGAGTGTGGTGGTGGTAGAGGAGGAAAGGAGGGGGGAATCAGGTCAAGTCAGGTCAGGGGGTCAGGTCTGGTGGGTGGGTTCTTGAGATTGCAGGCACAAAAGCGACGACGTACAGAGGTTTGTGAGACCTTGGGACGTCCTGCAGAAACAATGGTGCGAAGAGGGTAGGATTTCATCAGTCGGTTAGGACAGCGGGTGACGGCGACTGCGAACAGGACTGACCGAGGGGGAAAATACTCGAAGCTCCACCATATGGAGCCATCGCGCTCTGCCTTGGCGATCTTGTCTGTGATGCGCCAGTTGGCGTGCGGTGTAGAGGTCATCTTTTATGTCGAGACCGGGGAGGGGGGTGGGGAAGGTGTGCAAAAGCTGAGGCGTCTGTCTTACCACAGACGAGAATGCTTAATCCAGCGAAGCCGCCGCAGCAGCGGTCGCTCGTATGCCGGTGCTCGGAGCGCAGTGCAGTGCAGACGCAGGCAGGCAGACAAGGAGAGCAGAGTTGATGATGGGGGCGGTGCGAGCGTCTGCTTTGTGCGTTGTAGGATGGTCTACGTCGGGCAAGAAGGGGCGTCGACCTTGACCGCAGCAAGTACCACTATCACTGTGCAACCGGAGATGATTGCCTTCTCGTCACACTTCTCCCTTTGTGGGGGGGGCAAATTAGACTAGAATCTCGTGCCAGTTCAATCTGTTGAGTGGGTGTGGTTCTTTCTAACCCTTCCGTTCTATTCCGTTCCGCCCACACGTGCGCCATCCGCCACACCGCAAGGCCACACGCCACATTTCCGGTTCGTTCGGTGCAAGGATTCTCTCGGCCGAGAGACAGTGCTCTGGTGATTGGGCAGCCTGGAACTCTGGGTCCTGCGCAAATATCCCCGGAAAAACAGGGATCACCTCACCCCCGGCCACGTGAGGTCATCGATCGAGGTTTTGAAGTGAGGCCCCCACGAGAACATGCGACAGACCGACAGATGGAGGATGTGCACGGTGACACGGTAGGCAGGTAGACTGTAGACAGCGATACCTAAATGAGCCATCATCACTAGTGTCTCCGACGTACATAATTTTCTCGCCAGCGCAACTGTAGCGTCCCAACTGCCAGCCGGACCCTAATGGCTGCCTCGGAGCGAATGGCCCGATGCTCGCTCGCTGCAGGGTGACTAGGCTCGCATGCGCCCCGCTCCCACGTCCTTCGCAACAACAGCGTCCCATCACCGGCCGTAGTAGGATGGATCACCTGGTCCCACGTCGTCAGCAGAGCGAAGAGGATGCCGTGGGCCCATCATATCCGCGACTTACACCCGTAGCCGCACCCCCGTCTTGCCATTGGCCATCGAGAGAGACGGCCGCTCGCATAAGCTCGCCTGCGTCACAAAGCCACAAGCCCACGCCCACGTTAACGCCGACCGTGCGTGCAAGCAATCCGTTGCACTGGCCCGCCCCCGAATCGCTGCCATCGCTGGTGGACGACAACGTTCTCTCGCGCACCACCTACCAGCTGGCCACGACCGCCAAGGGCAAGGGGAGTTGGCACAATTCGAGTGCTGCTGCAGCAGCACCAGGACCAGAAGCACCAGTGGCAACAGCACCACCTGCTCCTGACCCTCCCGTTGGTTCCAATGCACGCCATGTACTTTCCGACGCAAGCGGAGAGCGGTGCGGCGAAAGCGACAGAGCGAGAGTGACTGGCTCTTCACGGACGTTGAACGTTGTCAACACACAGCGACGAGGCCCTACAAAAGGATCCATGCCGCCGTCATCCTCCTCCTTCCCCCGCGGCTCGCTGCCTACGTCATCGCTCACCACCGATCAACCGAAAGATCACGCGACGTCGTACTCTGGTAGCGCCAGGCTTGGCAGCAGCATGGCCAGCACAGCCAGCGACAGCTGCAGGGCGCACCCCTCGGCGCGACTCTATGCGGTGGTACCCACATCTCCGAGCTTGAACGCGAAGCCGCCCTACACACGCTCCGCCTCGCAGGGCCCTACTGTCAGCCCATGCGCCGTGTCGTCATCATCGACATCGCCGTCGTCGTCGTCGCTGTTCGGCCCGATAGACGCTCTCGGTCGGAAAGTCGGCCAGCGGCTCCGCGGCGTCGCTGGCGCTGCCACTGCCCGGGGCATGCAGTCCAGAACGTCAACGCCGCGTCCTGGGCCTACTCACGGCGCGTGGATGCTGCCGCCTTCTGCGCTCCCTGTCGATCCCCAGGATCAGGCGCCGGGCAGCGCGCCGCTCGCTCCTGTGTTTGCAGCTGGAGAATTGGAGGCGAGAATATCGCAACAGGGACACTTGTCGCCATCAAACAGCAGCGGCAGCCGCTTCACCACCCTGCCCCCTGCTCCGTCCGAATACCTGACCGCTCTTCTGCAGCCATCCACAATATCGGCGTCCCCCCTTCGCTGCCTTCTCCGCTCGCCTCCAAGGCCGCCAGTCTTCGCGTAGGCACTACTGCGACGTTCAGCACATCGAGTCTGCTATCGTCCGCAACGGTCAGCTCTTCCTCCTCATCTTGCGCATCCTCGGCGGACCAACTGCACCTCCAGCAACAGCGGCCCGAACCGTCCTACATGCCCGTCGCGGCCGGAATGCCAGCGCACCAGCCCGGCTCGGTCGTGCCCGTGCTTCTGCCGGGCTATGTCGCGCGGCGCGTCGCGCGCGACCGGCACTCGCAGGGCTGGGCCGCCGTCGACGCGCCAGAGGACCTCGACGATGGAGCGGTGGAGCTTGACGTCTATGCGCACGGCATGGTCCTCAGGACGCCGGAGGCCGCTGGAACGTGGGAGAGGGTTTTCAACCAGATGGCTAGACAGGTGCGTGCTGCGTTGCGCTCATTCAGGCGCATTTTGGCTAACCCAAAGGCGCTGGTCTCCCCTGTGTCGAACGTGCACGCCATAGCTCGCAGGCCTGCCAAAGATCGCCCGGCAGCCCTCGGCAGCCGCTTCAACTATGTCGATGAGCTCTCCGGCCAGCACGGCCGGCCTACTGCACGCCGCAGCACCCGCGGATGACCCGCTTCTTGCGGCGCTCGCCCCGACCGGCAAGCCGCATAGTGCCGAGCCGAAGTCGATGCTCGACGGGTGTCCTCCGTCTGCGTCTGCATCTGCCACTGAGGCGGAGGCGGGGGCGGAGGCGAAATGCGTGCCTATAACGGGTGCTTTCGCGGGTAGAGAGGGCGAGGATGCCGGCGCGAGCGGCGGCGCGCTGGAATTCAATGCGACAGTCAAAGCCGGCAACGGCGACGACGGCGATTGCGCTACGGAGGCTCGAGACGAGCGGCGACTGCGCATGCGCGACAAGCTGACGCACAGGTTGATGAGGAATGTCAATGAGGAGGCACTGGCGCGCTTCATCGATCGCGCGCGCATCCTCCCGAACGACCGGCCAAATGATGCGGATGTTGCGCGTGAGCATGGGGCAGGCGCCAAGAACAAGAACGAGGCTGACAGCTCCGAGTCTGCTGGTCCCGAAGTACAACGCACGCTCTGGAGCGCAGCGCTTGCTTCTCGTGCAGAACGGCAAGTGAGTGTCGCGACTGGATCTGCCTCGGCACCGAGAATGGCACCCACACCCGCCGATGGCGGGGGAAGTGGCGCTGCTAGGCCTTCGGATCTGCTCGCTTCAACCTCTAGTCTGCAACCTTTCAGCCGCCGCGAGCGGGCGATGGCAAAGCTGCATACTCTCAAGACAGTGTCGACCCGCTTGCAGTCAGATTCTCGCACGAGCTCTCCGATCGGCGCGGGCGCACACATTGACGAGGCGTCCGCATGGAGCAGGCGCGGCGCCACTGCTTGGCTGGGCCGCTCGCTGCCCGAGTTGCAGCAACTGCAGCGCAACCTCGAAAGCCGGCTGCATGCATTCTGGATGTACAGGGTCGAACATCGAGAGGTTAGAATCGAAATCGAGCCGACCTTCTCAAACAAGGTGCAGAGCGAGTGGGCGGAGCATGGCATCGAAGAGCCGCGCGGTATGCTGCTCGCAACGACGACGCTGTGGACCAACAGCAGCGGGTGCTTCGAGCACAAGCTCATCATCCCGTGGTGCATGCTCGAGTCATACTGCGAACACCATGAGGCTACGCGTGGCGTGCACCCCGTCGAGATCGTCGGTTTGCGCATGCGCGCTGTGCTGTTGAAGCACAAGAACCCGTCTCAAAAGGCGAGTGAGCCGGTTATGAGAGGCGAAGGCAGCGCTCAGTCTGAGGTGCCACTTGGCGCCACGAGCTACGGTTACCCGCAAGTCTCAAAGGAAGCCGGTGAAAATCGCTCTCGGCCGCCTGATCATTTCAAAAATCACGTCGATGCGGAATCGACGCTATGGATGGAGCTTGACGTCACCGACGATGGACGCCGGAAGGTCCGCGTCATATCGGACATCGATGACACGGTCAAGCACACAGACATTGTTGGCGGCATCAAGTCGGTCTTCCAGAACGTCTTTGTTAAGCCCTTCAACGAGGTCACAGTAGATGGCGTCGCACGCTGGTACCAAGCGATGACGGCTGCCGGCGCCCCCGTCCACTATGTCAGCAACGCGCCATTGGAGCTCTACGGGCTCGTCCAGGGCTTTTTGGAGGTAGCCGGCATGCCGCTCAGCCATTTGCACATGAAACTCTACCCGACCGGCACGCGTAATCTACTCGCTTCATGGCTTGAACCTGCTGGAGAAAGGAAGCGTGGTGCCGTGGAGGCCATCTTGAACGACTTCCCTGGCACCAGCTTCATCCTCGTTGGGGATTCCGGCGAGCTGGACCTGGAGCTATACTCTGCACTTGCTGCCGAGCGGCCTCATCAGATCCGCGCTATCTTCATCCGGGACGTGTCGAGCCCGCGACCACGTGCCAAGCCGACGGCGTCGCCTTCTTTGATGACGAACGAGGAAGTCATGGAGGATGCGCCCACTATTCAGCCTCCTGCACCTGCCGACATTCCACCTATACCAGGCGCAGCGCCAGGGTTCTTTGACACGTCTTTCCCTGACACAGCGTCCAATTCGATGCGTCCGCCCATTCTGCGACGCATAACCTTCGACTCCATGAACCGCTCCTCCCCCTCTTCACTAACGCACTCTTCTGCGCTAAATTCGAGAGCGGCACCCCCTTCCTCTACTGGCGACAGTCGGCAGCCAGTTTACCTGACGGAAGCGGAGTTTCGCCGGCGCGAGATATTTCGCGCTCGTGTTCACAAGGCGAAGGAGATCATCCCGAGGAGTACGCTCCTTAAGTTCTATCGCACGGGCTGCGAATGCGAGGAGGATGCACTCAAACTTATCTGGGAATTACAGCAGGGCACCCGCCGTGCTGACTGCTCGTAAAGAGTGGATGTAGCTTACGGAAAGCAGCGAATTGCACTGTATCTTATGTACCTGGCCAACAATCTCAGCCGAGTAGCTAGCTGATCGCAACGGTTTTGAAAGTGGAAATTGAGATGGTTGGCCCATATAGCCTAGTTGCACCGATAGGCACAACCAAAAGGCTCATCATTATGAAAAACAGCATAATGAAATCCGAGAACCGTTTCTCATGTGCAGCATGCAATGGATGCGTATATACTTCGAATTCGTACTGACTCGCATCATGGTCAGGCCAAGAGGTTGCAGTGCGAAGCAATTTGCACACCTCACCGTTCTACATGCAGTAGGAAAGCGATTGTACTGGGTTGAGATGCTCTGGTTACGATAGCGCAACATCATGCCTGGAAGCCCTCCGGATTACGGCTCCATCGCATACTGGGAGAACCGCTTTGCTTCTGAGCTCAACGAAAAGGAATCTCTGCGCAATGAGTTTGAATGGCTTGGGGACGGAAGCTCGACACTTCTGCCTGCCCTCACCGAGCATTTGCAAGTGAGCAGCTCTGCAGCGAAGTCGTTCGGCGTGCTGAATATTGGCTGTGGGAATAGCGCACTTCATGTCGCCGTTCGGTCGTTGTACGAACAGCATGGGCTTGATTTCGGTCAGATTTTGGTGCGCACAGTGCCTGTGGTGCTAAGACAAAGTTATTGAATGAATATCTGACGAGTCCTGCTCGCATGGATTGCAGAACCTCGACTATTCGGCTTCAGCACTCAAGGCCGCGAGTGTTATAGAGCAACGAGCATTCCCTTCGCAGTCAAACGCGCAAGAGCATATGACCTACAAGCTGGCGGACTTGCTTCAATGGTCTTCTCTGAACGGCGCATTGCAAAACCGCGTTTTCGATGCCATACTGGACAAGAGCACAGCAGACGCCATCGCCACGGCAGCAGAAGTGGTGCTACTGCCGATCGCTTCGGTTTCAGCTGCGGCAGCGGGACTTGCTTACCAAGAAAGCTTATGCCCGCTTTTGCCCCTCTCACTGCGCAGCTACATGACACTGCCCCCCACAGATACCAGGATCGCCTACGCCTTGCCGCCGGACGCGAAGCGCATTCATCCTGTCCGCCTGCTTGCGGTTCACCTCGCCGCTGTCGTCAAGCCGGGTGGCATCTGGCTGATATTGAGCTATTCCTCAATACGGTGCGAATTTCTTCAAGACAGTGCGTTTCCTGAAGATGAGCTGGCGATAAACAGACTCTGGGTGCTAGATCGGACGGTACCGTTGGAAGTCGAAGATGCGAGTGGAAGCGCTTTCGCGCCTAAGGTCCAGCATTGGTGTTATGCGCTGCGACGAAGGGATCACAACGATGCACTGTGATTCAGATGGGCTAAATGTAGAATATGCGCAGAAGCCTGCACTAGGCAGATGGATTTAAGGATACCGAACAGACAAAGGCAGATACATACAAGTGGTCTCTTTCATGAGCACAACCGACCTAGAATTCAACAGCCCTTGAGCTTTGGACTGTCCGAACGCCGCATCCCCGAAAGCTCTCACCGCTGATTTTCTAGAAGTTCCAGCCATTGAATGATATCCACCCTGATGTCGAGATCGATGAGAGCCTTAGTACTGAGACACACGACATTGAATCGGCCCACTGGATCAGGAGTGTCGCAGAGCAACACGCGTTAAGGAATCGTCCAAGCAGACGAGCGCCTGGGTCTGCTCTGCTCGGACAAAGCTGGAGGCGAAACGGCCCTCAAAGGTATTGATGCTGGAAGACAACTGTGAAAGTTTAGAGGCTTGATCCTGTGCGATTCGCAGTATGTCTACAGTTGATTGCTTGGTTCACTCGGCTTTGAAAGTCACGTTCCTATCCTCAGAGGTCGTGTTGCGGTGCACTCTCTATACTAGCTGTATGTAAACGCGCACTGCGCGTCGCGCGACTCGGAGTCCAGGGGGAATGCGCCCACGAGCGGAGACTGTGGAGAGCAGCGACAGAAAGACATGTAAACTGCCGATCGACACTTCTGATGAAGACCCGACGTCCTCGTCAAGGCGAGACAAGTCCCATTCGCTTTGAAGTACTAGAGAGTCAGGCAGGTGCAGACATTAATAATGTCGTCCCTGGGCAGCGGCGAGTCGCGGCGCAGGGCCGAGATCGAGGCAAAGCGGGCCAAGCTCGCAGAGCTCAAACGCGCTCGTGAGGAACGCACATCTCGATTGCTCGCATCACGACCCGAATCGAGAGCAGGTGATGCTGGTTTGGGTGTGGGAGGGGGAACAGCCGTCAGCACGCCTAGTTCGCGAAAGGACCTCGACGACTTTGTCGCCACGCTCGTCGGAAGCTCGTCCGGACGTGCATCGATCGGAGGCGCGTCTTCCCTTGCTGGTGCCAGGAGCCCCGCTGGCGGTGCCCTTGGTCATTCGAGTCCACGAAAGAGTGCGGCAATCAGCGCTAGCAGCGAATATGGCGGAGAGAGTGAAGGGGTTGGACCTAGTGTGTATGGGACCACATTCGTTAATCGGGCAGACGGAGAGGCGGAGAGGTCCGAGTGAGTACTCTCAGAACTCAATGCCATCAATGCAACTCATTTTTAACCTGTGTTATGACTCCGCAGGTACTTCCGGCCACCACCTGACTTCGTCCATGTGGAGACAGAACTGTTCGAGCTTCCACCGCGAGAACGATTATACTATACGAAAGAAGTACAGACAACTTCGATCAACGCCTTTGCAGATGACAACTTGGATGCTGCAGGCGGCGTTGGCAGCGACATTCGGATAGGACCCGACGGAAAGCTGCAAGGGCTGACTCCGGCGCAGGAGCAGCTCATCAGGCAGAACATCATCAAGGAGCAGGAGCTCGAAGAGGACGACCACGAGAAAGACAGGCGGCTACAGAAGGAAGAGGAGACGTTGGAACGGGAAATCGAGGAGGAGATCAAGAGTACGCCTTTCGCACTCCCTTCTAGTTCATAATTATCACTGACAAAGGATCCCTTAACCTTCATAGCATACACTCAGGAAGAACTGGCTGCCATCTATCAGTCTTCTGAATTCCAAAAGTTTCTAGAAGCATCGACTTTGATCGCCGAGCGTGCACTGACAGACTCATACGACTATCTCAAGGACTACACCAAGGTCGGCCTTGCCCCTGGCGAATCGGACAGCGAGCGAGGGCAGGTGCACTGCGTGCGAACATTTTGGGATGAAAAGCTCCTGAAGAACAGGAGCATTACCGCGATTGACTGGAGCACGCGACACCCCGAGCTGTGCGTGAGCAGCTACAACAAGAACCCACTCGCCATAGATGAGCCTGATGGGCTTGTGGCAGTATGGAACATGCACTTGAAGGACCGCCCGGAATTCGTATTCCATGCGCAGGTGAGCCGAGAACAGAACAGATGGAATGGTCTCGCAGTATACGCTGACTTGCCCCTTCCTATTGGCCTCAGACGGATGTGCTATCCGTTTCCCTCTCCCCTTTCCACCCGAATCTCGTTATCGGCGGCACATATAGCGGGCAGATTCTCATGTGGGACACACGAGCGCGAGCGCTGCCGGTCCTCAAGACGCCGCTGTCTGCCTCTGGCCACACGCACCCCGTATACAGCATGCAGCTTGTCGGCACACAGAACGCACACAACCTTGTATCAGCGTCCACCGATGGTACAGTCTGTACGTGGATGCTGGACATGTTGGCGCAGCCGCAAGAGCTCATCGAGCTGCAGAACCCGAACCATCAGCGCACACCCGAAGTCAGCGTCACAACACTCTCGTTCCCAGGCCAGGAAACGAACACTTTCTGGATCGGCACAGAAGAAGGGAACATTTACAGCGCAGGGCGATTTGACCGCGCAGGCAGCCGTGCGGGGCTCAACCTCTCCGAAGTTTATGCCGGCCACGCCGCGCCGATCACAGGCTTGCACTTTCATCCCCTTGCGGGGCCGATCGATTTCTCAGACCTCTTCCTCTCCTCGAGCATGGACTGGACCAGTCGGCTGTGGCGCGCAAATACCAATACGCGCTCCGTCTCAAGGTCGGCGGGAGGCACGGGCGTTGGCGGTGCCGCAGCTGCCAGCGGACTGCAAGTCACTACGCCGCTCGTCAACTTTGAAGAGTCGACCGATTACCTCTATGACATCAAGTGGCACCCGTCCCATCCTGCCGTCTTTGGTCAGGTCGACGGCGCAGGCTACTTTGATATTTATGATCTGAACAGTGACACAGAGGTGCGTTCCCCCAATGGTCATAAAGCGGTGATCAAATAACGTTTCACTGATTTTCATTCCTCGCTGCAGCGTCCGATCGTACGCCAGCAAGCAGGCAATGGCCGCGCCCTCAATAAGCTCGCGTGGGATCGCAAAGATGGCCGGCATGCAGCTGTCGGCGGCGCTGATGGGCGCTTGTACGTCTACGACATCGGCGAGCTTGCCGCGCCAGCCGACGACGCGTGGTCCAAGATGCAGGACACGGTCGCCAAATTGTTGACCCCGAATGCGGGCAAGACGGCCGGCACTTCTCCGACTAGTAGTGGGCCCATGCGATGACCGAATTGTACAGTAGGACACGTTTTTGGATCATATGCAAACCCCGTCTTGCTTTCTCGACTATGTTACAATGCCGTGCGAGAGAGTTTTTGCAACGAGTCTGAGGGTGTGAGAGGATGGTCAGCGACAAAGCGTTGTGTAAGAGCTGGGCGCGGTCTAAGCTTACTCAGCAACACATCTCCATCTTTGATGATTTTGCTGTATTGTGCATTCTTCGAGTCCGGTCGCCGCGTCTCGATGATCCCATGCACCTTGTCAATGACAGCAGGGAGCCGCCCGCTTGAGATGAAGCGAGATAACTCACTGGATCATGAGGCGCAAACGTGTTAGCGCATGCGCACCGACGAGTGCAAGCAATGAAAGGTACTCACGAATCAATGAAATTGACGCTGACTCCAAACGCATCCGCCATGCTACCGAGTGTGACACTCCTGTAGCTCTCGAGCAGCTGCGCGTAGGCAATGATCCTCATCTCCTTGACGTAGAACCTAGCATGCGGGTTGAGGGTCCTGGATGGCAAGATATATGCCTGCTCCACCTCTGCCAGAGCCTTGAAGAATGCCCCGTACTGGCAACTGTACAGCGAATTGATGTACTGTCTCAGATGCGGAAGTTCATCAATTACCTGCAGCACCTCGGGCGACTCGATGATCTTCTTCTTGAGATCTACTCGCTTAAGGGCGAACGTGTTGGCAATGACGGTCAAGGCGATAAAATCGTTGTATTCAAGGAGCTCTGTCGCAGTAAAGGTGGAGAGTGCCTCGAGGAAGAGTTCGCCACCCTTATGAAAATCGCGGATAGAGAGGAGGTGCAGGCCCTCGTAGACTTTTAAGCGATTTCTCCGGTCCCAATCTCCGCCCTCTTCCACAAACTTCTTTGCTGACGCAATTGAAGAGATGACCAAAGAGGTATCGCCAAAGAATAATCCGATGCGGATCAGGCCAAGTGTGAGGTCGATTTTAGAACCCAGGCCTGAGGCCTTTTCAATGGCAAGCTTATGCGCCGAGACAGCATTTTCCTGAAGGAATTCCATGGAAAGTCAGCGACAAGGATAGCTAAATAAGCATTCCCAAATGGATTACGGACCTTGTCCCCAATCTTAGCATAGTAGTTTGCTCTGTCCTTGAGAACAGCATTGATCTCCATGTCCCCCTCATTCTCCTCTGCACGCTTCTGCACCCCATCTAGTCGTTCCAGCTCTGCCCTATTTTTCGCTTGTAGGTTGGAGAGGAGGTCAGAAGAGGATAACGCATGATTGAGAGAAGTTGATGCGACTGGAGATGGAAGTAGCTTTGAGATAACCGGATCAGCGAGAAGCGCAGCATAATATGGTGCCATCTCTGTAAGTGATGCGAGCCCTCGTAAGTATGTTTTAAGAGCGACCAAGCCACTCTTATCGCCACGAACCATCTTCCTCGATCCCCTTCAGCAGCTCTGCTCCTGCATTTTTCCGAGCTTTCTGTCTGTCTACGGACACGGAGCTATCGTCGACCAGCAAGAAGAGCTGCTGCTGAAGCTTGAGGTTCGGGATCGGAAACACGTTCTCCTCGTCCATTTTGGGTAGCTTTCGGATCTGAAGGAGCGCAGCGAGAGGAGCTGAATATGCTCTTTAACTACCGAGCGGCAACTGGCTGCTTCTTGAATGGCAAGGGATATAAAACTCACAAGGCAGGTCAAGGTGTACTGAAAGACGATCAAGGATGCATTCGAAGGTAGTGTTGATCATTCGACACTGCGACGCGACGGCACTGCGCCCGTGTGAGGCGATCGCTGACGCGTTCCTTTCCCGGCAACCCACAGGCACACCTCGAATGGGCCACGATCCAATTCTCCCTTCTCGAGACCGATTACCACTTACTTGGGATCCGAGTACATATACATCTTCATCTATGCTTCTATAGATCGGGAAAACGTGCGCAAAAGAAAGTCAGAGCTACCATCCAAGCGCTGCTGACCTGCCCGAACCACGTCGTCGAAGCAACGTCCCACCATGTCGCAACAACAGCCAACCGTGGAAGCAGCCAACGAGGCCGCCAAGGGTGGCAACACGGCCCAAGCAGAGGCCATCCTGAAGCAAATCCTCGACAAAAAGCCAGAAAAGCAAGATGAAGAGCTGCTGCGGGAACAGGAGGCGGCACTGCTTCGGCTAGGAGAGCTGTACCGGGATGAAAAGAATGCGCAGGCGCTGGCGGACACAGTGCGATCTTCGCGGACATTGATGACTTCCATCGCCAAAGCGAAGACAGCGAAGCTCAGTGCGTCCATTCGTGATGAGCTACTGTATTGAATGTTTTCTAAGCTCAAACTTTCCTTCTTTTTCCGCGCAGTCCGCCAGCTAATCGATTTGTTTTCGGACATTCCTGACGGCAAGCAGATTCAAATAGTCGTTACCAAAGAGAACGTGGAATGGGCAAAGAGCGAAAAGCGGATCTTCTTAAAGCAGAGCTTAGAGACCAAGCTGATCGGCTTGTGAGATGGCCTGTGAAGGCTGCTTTTCATGGAATCGCGTTTTGACTGGCTCCGCTGTGTTTGCAGATACTTCGAGAATCGCAATTTCCGGGAAGCGCTACCACTGATCAACGAATTGCTTAAGGAGCTCAAGAAGCTCGACGACAAAATGATCTTGACCGAGGTGCACTTGCTAGAGTCCCGAGTCAATCATGCCATCTCAAATTTCCCGAAAGCAAAAGCAGCGTTGACATCAGCGCGGACAGCAGCCAATTCGATCTACTGCCCACCACTCTTGCAAGCACAGCTTGACTTGCAGAGCGGAGTCTTACACGCAGAGGACAAGGACTACAAGACGGCATATTCGTACTTTTTCGAGACGATGGAAGGATTTTCTGGGCAAGAGGATCCGCGCGCGCCAGCAGCTCTGAAGTACATGCTTCTATGTAAGATCATGTTGAATCTGCCCGACGACGTAAACGCTATCATCCAGGGTAAAGCCGCGCAGAAATTCTCGGGGAGAGACGTGGAGGCGATGAGTAAGGTGGCAAAAGCGCACGAGGAGAGGAGCTTGGAAAACTTTGAGCAAGCATTGAAGGATTACAAGGAGGGTGAGTCAAGCAAGCGAGTCGGGTACCTCCTGGTTGTCTGCACGTCCGGCTGACGATCCTGTGCTGTGCGTGTGCAGAGCTTTCGAACGATCCGATCATCCGCAACCATCTCGCTGCTTTATACGACACGCTGCTAGAGCAGAACCTGCTACGAATCGTCGAACCATACTCGCGGGTCGAGATCAGCTACGTCGCCGAGCGTGTGCGTCAACCGGTGCGGGAGGTAGAGACCAAGCTCAGCCAGATGATTCTCGACAAGGCTTTCCACGGCATTCTCGATCAAGGCAATGGCTGCCTTGTCATTTTCGACGAGCCGTCCCAAGACGTGAGTCTCCTAGGTCTTTCCTTTGCAAGGACACATTTGCTGACTCTCGCTTTTGATACCGTGATGCCGTAATACAACCACAGAAAATCTATGAGGCGACGATTGAGACACTCAAACACGTTGGCGACGTCGTAGAGTCACTCGGAAAGAAGGCGAACAAGCTAGGATGATCCGCACCGGTGTCGGTCCAGCATCACAATGTATCCTAGCCACTGCATCGCACGACCGAAGCTGAAGTTGGGGTGACCTAGAGATAAAGTTCTAATTGCGGAGCGGGTTGTCACTCTGACAGTGAACTGTTGAATTCACCGCATATCTTTGGAAGCCGCCGATCACGTCTAGTCAATGTCGACCAGGCTGCGCGTCCACAGGTCGTAAGCGCAAGCATTTTGAGGAGTTCTCGACAAGCGATCAATTCTGCAAACTCACTTATACGAAGGCGAATCGAGCTTCTCAGCACCCTTGAGGAAAGGGATGGCGACAACGAACACGTATTCAACCGTCTTGCCGCCGCATTTCTGCACGAGTTCACCGGCTGCCTTGGCCGAACCGCCCGTGGCGATCAAGTCATCGACAACGAGAACGGTGGAGCCAGGCTTGATTGAGTCTGCTTGGACTTCGAATACGTCCTGCGATGAAGAGGGGAGAAATTATCAGGGCAGACCCGATCCATGGCATTTACGATCGCACACGCCTTGGTGACAACACGTCCTTGCACTCACTTCGCCATACTCTTTCATGTACGTCGCACGTTCGCACTTTCCCGGGAGCTTCCCCCTCTTACGAACAGGTACGAAAGCTGCGCCAAGGCGCAACGCAATGCTTGGGCCCAGAAGGAAGCCTCGAGCGTCGAGCCCAACCACAACGTCAATCTTCTTGCTTGGGCCAGCGAGTTTCGGCAGTGTGAAGTTGAAGATATGCGAGAGGATATGCGTTAGGAGGGATTCGAACGCTTGCGGGTCGCGCAGCACGGGCAGTATGTCACAGAAGTTAATGCCCTTCTTGGGAAAGTCCGGGTAGAACTCTAGTGCGTGGACGGAAACAGCCGTTATGGTGACAGATCTGTGGTCAGCCTCTGACAGCTACGCTCGGAGCGAATGCGTGATGCTTGCACGTACGGAACAGAGATTTGAGGTGCTCAATATCAGCCATCTTGATGTCACTACTTTCGAGTCTTCTTTTCGCCCTTGTTGCGCCTTTCTTTAGAGTACAGCCGCTAAGACCTGCTTTGAGTGCTCATAATGTTGCCGGCAATCAGAGATTCAGAACAAACAGCTTCATCGTCGATACGAAAGTGCTCAACTTATCTCACACTGTGCGGAGTTATTCCTCATCAGCTCTCTCGGCCGAGAGATCATGCGCTCCAGCCCGCACCCACAGTCGAGTCGAGAATCAAGGAGTCGAGGATGTCCTTGTTGGACATCTGAGTTGAATGTTCGCCTGTCAGGCATTCGTTGCTTCGAGCTCCATCACCCTAGGAGCAGAAATCATCGGTGAGAGGTGGTGGCGCTGCACACGTTCACCCATCCTGCTGAGTGGGTGTACCGGCCAATAACGGTGGCCTGTTCACTGAAGAAGAGCAGAGCCGAACGTGACGGATTCGATTACGCAGGGCCTGTTGCGTCCTTACTGGCCAAAGAGTGAGTGACTGTATCGACATACGCAAGATGCCACCACCCAAGAAGAGAGCAACCTTGGATCCCACGCCTGATGCAAATTGGACGAGGGAGGTGCCGCTCAACTACACCTCATTTAAGGTCCCTCCCATGATAAATGCGAAGAGTGCGTGCTCCTAGAGTCCGCATCGGGCAGGGCCATTGGCAAAAGAGCTCACAGACGCGTCTATTCGCACCTCTCTCCAGATGTGACGGCAACATACCTGAAGACAGACGCGCAAACATGGATCGCACGAGCAGCCTCGCAAATAGGCCTTTCCGGGCCGCAAAAGGATGCAGCAGGAGCGCCAAAGAAGCGCAAGAAGGGCAAGTCAACGGTCGCTGCTGCTGCGGAGAGCGAGGAAGAGGAGGAGGATGAAGATGAGGAGGAGGGAAAGGTGCGTTAAATGAGTCGTAACTCATGAAGGCTGCAGTAGCTGAAGTGATTTGCACCTGTGACAGATGGCTGCGTCCAACACCATTGTCATACATCCTGGCTCGCACACCCTGCGAATAGGTAGGGCAACTGACCTCAGCCCCCTCAGCTATCCTTTCGTGCTGGCCCGACGGGCTGCACGTACTCTCAACGCGTCTAATGAAGCTCACATGCCGACAGACAATCCAGAAAGTGCGGAGCAACAAGCCGAACGAAATGACAAACCCTCTGCTGCGGAGCCAGGAGCGGCTCCGTCGCAAGCGGCTGTGCGAGCCAATGGCGATGGCAGTACGGCAAAGCCCGATGAGGAAGAAGACGAAGAAGACGAGGAAGCAACGAGCGACACACTCTCCCCCAAGATCGAGGTGTTGCGACAAGATTTGAGAGTCATAATGCGCTCCATGAAGCTGCGCCCCGTGTCCAATGGGCGCCAACTAGCGATGGGCTATAACGAGACGGCTGAGCCAGAGCGGGTGCCAGACCACAGCGACGTATATTCCTTCGAATGGACCCAGCCGAGCGCCAACGAAGAGATTCTCATCGGGGACCAGGCGCTTCGCATGGCCTGCTTCTCCATCGCCGAAGGGGACAAAGACATGAATGCTTCGTCCTCCCGACCGTGGAAGCTTTTCCGTCCGTTCAAGCGGGGCATGCTGAATGTCGATGAGTACGTCGAGCACTACGGCACGACATCTGCTGACTCGGTGTTGCTTGGAGACTTTCAAAAATTCCTCGAAATGGTCCTCGAGGCGCCTGAGCTGAAAGACGTGGCCGACGAACACACCGGCTTGACCGGTCTCGGCATCCCGCGCAGCGAGTGGTCATCGCTCAACATCGTGCTCGTCGTCCCGGACCTTCTTTCCCGCTTTCATGTGAGAACCCTCACACATCTCTTCCTCTCCACTATGGGCTTTGCCGGCATCTGCCTGCAGAGTGAAGGTGTTGCCGCCACCTTTGGCGCAGGGCTGTCCAGCGCGTGCGTGGTCGACCTCGGTGCGGAAACGATCAACATCTCCTGCGTGGAGGATGGGTTGGTCGTGCCCGAGTCACGCATCGAGCTGTGTTTTGGCGGTAACGATATCTCCACATTCTTTGCTGAGCTGTTACACCGTGGGAAGGTACCCTACACCGCGCTCAACATCAACAAGCGCATTGTCGACCTGCAGATTATTGAAGACATCAAAGAGCGCGCCTTGACCCTGCATCCGTCGGACATTGGCTTGAATTTCTGGGATTTCCAGGTGCGGCTGCCCAACAAGCTGACTGACAAATACAAGTTCCGGATGTACGATGAGCCGATCGTGGGGCCCTTGATGCTCTTTGCGCCGCGTGTTGTCGACTTTGACGCCAAGAAAGGGCCCAGGACGCCGCGCAGGACGCTCTCGCTGGCAGCCAAGATGGCGGAGGACGTTGAGGACCCGGGCGAGCCTGCGCATGAGGATATCTCAGAGACCGTCACGATGTTCAAGACCATCGAGCACCTCATCCCACATGCTATGATGCAGGCACAGCAAGCGGGGGAAGCTCCGAATCGGCAAGCCGCGGTCCCAGATGCTAATGGCGTGCGCGATTCTCCTACGGCTGCAGCTGTGGCTAGTGGGTCGAACGCGGGCAATACGGCGACAGGAACGTCACAGCCTGAAGGTGCCAACATGAGTAATGCTGTTGCTACTGCCGCTGCCGTCACGGCCACAGCGGCAGCAGGAGCAGCAGGCGAGGGGACCGGTGGCGCGGGCACTCCAGCGCCCGGCCCTCCGCCAGCACCAGCCTCGCTGACCCCCGCGCAACTGGGTATCGACGTGCACTGGGAGTCTTCTAAGACGCCGCTAGATGTCGCGGTGTGGGCCAGCATCCTGGGCTCGACGAATGTGCTGATCGGTATTCAGTCTACCGAGGAGAGGATCAGGCGGATGAGCCAGAACATCCTCTGCGTAGGCGGAAGCGCGCTGATCCCCGGTCTGGCGGCTGCACTGGAAGCGAGGTGAGTGAACGCGTGGGAAACAGAGCGTCGGTGAGGAGCGCCTTGCTAAACCACATCGTCATATCGTTTGATCAATCGCAGAGTGAATGTACATATGGACAACCACGTCTCTGCGACAGCTGCGCAAGCGCAAATCGCTGCACAAGCTGCACAAACACAGGCTGCGCTCGCCTCTGGAAGCGGTCCTTCTGGCGCCTCTCCCGGGCCCGGAGCAACTGCAGTGGGCGCAGGGACAGGCGCAGCGGTGCCGGGAGCGCTGTTCATATCTGGCAACGTACCCATTGCGACGACCATCCCTCCTCCGCGCGATATGGACCCGCGCATCGTCTGCTGGAAGGGGAGCGCAGTCATGTCGCGCCTGGCCAGCGCGGGAGATTTCCTTGTCCGCAAGCAGGATTGGGAGATGCTCAACTGGAGGGCTGTGCGCGAGAAGACGTGAGTGCGCACCAACCTACCGGAGCAGACCCTGTTCCGTCTTCTTTTGTCCCCCTTGTTGGTTGTGTCTGACAATCTAGCATTTGTTGCTTTCGCCTGCCTCCCAGGCTGTTCTTGTAAGCCGCTAGCAGGGTAAAGCAGCGCGAGCACGCTAATGTCATCAATCAGCATGGTGCACATTTGCCCAGAATGAATGTTTCCTCACGCAATGCAGAGATGTCAAGGAACCCTATTGCGCGCCTGCGTCTCGAACCCTTAGGAGGGCGGGGAGCAGAGGCACAAGGTGATTTCCCCCGGAATCCGGATGAGTCGAGTCTTCTCGCCTGTCTCCAGCCTTCAACGCCGCATGTATGTACGACTGAATAAGAAGCGAGTATACATACTGCATAGTCGCACAGGCGCGGCAAGATACGCGGCCAGACAGAAGCGGGGGCAGCAGAATGTTCTGGTCCGGCGAGTCTTCGGTGTGTGCCGGTGTGTGCCGCGCGTTGTTGCTTGATAAGAACCGACGGGGCCGATCTCTCCAGTCGGCCCGCCCATTGTTCCGGTGGCTGCTACTGCCCCAGCAGCTGTTTATCAGGATGAGGCCCTCGGATGAGTGAGCGTGTTTCATGAGCAATGCAAGTGGGATGGCGTGCAGCGCGGAAAGCGCTCCCATCCCCCGTGACTGCCCTCGAAAGGTGTGAGACACATTTCCCACTTGTGGTTCGCAATACAACCCCGCCAAACACGCTCGCTCATCACCCGCACGACCTCCTCCCTGTTGATTCAATCCTGGCTCATCAGCATCTTTCTCGAAATGCCACTGGGTGCGTACTTCATCCGCCCCTCGATACGTCACACCATTTTTGCCACGCCCTGCCTTCCTCATCGCTGCGTACACTTTGGCTGCAGATCCGACTGCCTGCTGCTTGCAGTGCGCCGAGTGAAACAGCAAGAAGTCTCTCGTCATCTCCATCATCACCTCGACAATAACTGTCCTTATTGTCTCGAAACGCCGGCGCCCATGCAGGCACACCGTCTCCTATCACCACCTTGAAAGACCATGTCCATCTTCCTGCACCCCGCACTGACGCGGCCCGTCGGCGTGCGCATCCTCGAGCCGACGCAGCGCGTCTCGCGCGAGGAGCTCGATCGTCGCGATGCGCGCTACCGCGCCTACCGCGAAAAGGCGCACGCTAGAGCCTGGGCCGACGACGCGACGCTCGTCGGTAGCGTCCGCAGCTATGGCGACAACGGCACGCTGCACCGCGGCAGGGGAAGGAGGCATCGCAGGAGCCCGTTCATCATTGGTGGTGCTGTTCCAAGCTTGCAGTCTGCTCTTACGGCTGCAGCCGCTGCATCGTCGTCAACAACAACAGCCGCGGCTGCGATCGATAGAGAAAATTCAACACCGATCACAGCAACGACAAGTAGGAGAGGGCGCAGGCTGTCCAAAGTGTTTGGCAGATTCCTGCGGTAATGTAGAACAACCCGTACGTGCCCACATTGCTTTGCTCTCAGCTTGCACATTTCACCCCCCACCGTCAGACTGACACTTCACACTCTGGCGTTCTCCAGACCTACGATCATCCGATCTTGTCTCTTCGATGCAATATCATTTCAACGACTCCGTGTTCATTCTAATGATCAGCACTCGTCAACACTCTCCGCCATCGTCATTCACCTGTGCAATTTTAGGCCCGAGCATATCTTCGCAAGCAGAAGTTACACAGAAACAGATCATCGATCGACCATGCTCCTCTGGTCAGATCAATTTTTCAAGTACACGGACCATCTCCACTCAGGCTCCTGCTATTCCCTTTCCTGCAACCACCTGAGCAGAGTCTCAGACCCGGGTGCAATCTTACTACAATAAGGTTTCGGAGGGGAAGGCGTTCAATGCAACTCGGCTCGACTCAGCTCAATTTACCACTTTTCAACTGTATCCATACTTTTTTGGACTGTACATCACTGCTCCAGTTTTGGCCGTGGGTGTCATGTCACCAGCACTTCTCTTGCGCATTCTTGATCTGCTTTTCGCTCCGGCAGCACATCACACCGCCTCGCTTCGGCCTTTCAGGTGCGAGTCTCATCCTACGTCTTCTTTTGGAGCTTTTGAATGTACCTATATGCACCCCACACAAGCGCCACAAGGCTCCACGAACTGCTAATGCATTCAATGGTGTTTGATGAAACGTACATATACTGCTAGAGCAGAGAAGCGCCATCTTGCTGTGTGAAATGAATTGTACGATGCACTTGGTTGATTGGACAGGCGCAACGAGAGAATATGCGAAGCATGAACTGATCAATCGGAATCATACGCGTCCCCTCCCCCTCCACTATGACCATTATTTCCTCGTCTTTTCTTCTCCTGTCTCCCCTCATCTCCGTCGACACGCTCTCCATCTTCCCCGTTCGGCCCAGCGCCAGCACCCGCATGCGCACGCTTCGCCTTGCGGTCCCTTCGCGCATTCGCGATCGCCACTGCACGGCGTCCCTCACGCTCCATCTCGCGCTTCAGCATTTCCCGGCTCACCTCCGACGGCAGTGCGGAGTCGGAGAAGCCTTGCAAACGGCCGGTGCCTGCCGGGCCTGCTGCTGACTTGTCCGTGCTCGCTGACAACTTTGGCCGCGCAGCATCCGCGCTGGAAGTCGTTACTGCCGCACCTGGCACAGCCGAGAATGATGATGCCTTTGCGGAGTCGAGAATGTTGCTTAAGCCTGATGGAAGCTGAATATCCAGCGTGCCACTGGAGTCCTTCTCTGTAACAAAATCTGCGAACCAGCCGCGCTTGCCAGATCCTATTTTGGACGGCTGAGCGAGCGTACAATCATCTTCTTCTATCGTCTCACATTCTTGTTCAAATTCCTCGTCCTCATCATCAGCCACGCCCACCCACTCTCCAGCGCCTGCGAAGATGTCCTCATCGTCATCTCCGAGAGGGTCCTGCGGTATTGACGAACTCGCAGCTACTAGTGCTGGGGTGGGTGCCTTTTCTACGGATAGCGCAGGGTATTCTGCTCGTTTCACGCTTGCTGACTCGCGTTCGGGCTGGCGTTCAACGTCAGAGTCGGAAATCTGATTGTCCCCTGTTGTCGTCTGAGAAGCAACATTTTTATGCGGTTTCTTTGGTGTCCGTTGAAGCGCAGAAGTAATACTCGGTTCTCCTAAGGCAGTGTTCACATCAACGGACTGCTTCGTTGGGGCACGGCCTTCTGGCTGTCGTTGCGGCAATCGTGAGGACACAGCTGGATCCGTTGCCTGCCTTGCCGCCGGCGCCGGCAGCGCCGCCTCCACTGGCGGGTTTTTGCGCTTCTTGCGCATCCGCTTCCCGTTGACAATCTTGTATTCTGGTTTCTCGTTTGACCCTGTCGCCAAACCAATCGGCTTGAACTTTCCCTCCATTTTGGCGCGTGCGAACTCATCCGACGCCGCAGACAGAGGGCCTTGGTCGGTGAGATGTGCCTCAGGCTCAGTTCTAGCACCAGCTACTCCTTGCGCAAAGGCAGCCTCCAGGTCGTCATCTTCGATCGCATTGTGCCCGTAAGCATCGACTCTCCCTTCGCCTCTGAGCTTCTCCTTGTTTGCTTGCAGCAATGCAAAGTCAAGGCCTTTCACAAGTACAGAATGCTTTTCGTCTCCGCCTAGGTGCCTCATTTCCTCTTCCAGCTGTGAAGGTGATAGCACCGATAAGAACAAGGGTCTGGGTAATAGAGCAAAAAAACATAACACAGCGATGCGCACCTCAGATGCATCACGGCCCTCATTCCGGGATTTATATCCTTCAAGAAGCTTTTCAGCATCTGCAAATTCATCCTTGTCTCCTCTGCGTCGGGCCTCTGCGCGATCGACATATCCTTCTCCCAGCGAAGAAGCCTTCTTCTTTTTCGAGCCTTGCTGATGATTCGGACGCGAGTCCTGCCTCTGCTTCTCCACCTTGCGAGGCTGAAAGACATTCGCCCCACCGCGGCCCGTTGCGGACGCGGTGGGGCGCTTGGGAGCTACACCAAATGCTCTCATGTGCGAGCTGCTAGACCCGCTTGAATTTCCGGGCGTGCTCGAGCTGGCTGCGCTCCCCGAAGAAGATTTCGCCGAGAGAAGCTGTCTGAAGGCCGACTGATCCATGGCGTAGAGGCCGAATTGCTTGCAACAAGGCAAGCCGTCCAACTGTGCGGTGTCACCCGTGGAGCCTAAGATCGGATGCTAATCAGCAGTGCCAGCGTCAAATTTTGAAGAGCATAACCTGGCGCTTGTCACCACCTCCCCTGGTCTCTGTGACCTCGTCTCAGCTCGCAGCGATGGCAATGGAAGCTACGTGTGTGAAGGCCATTCTCATCCTCATCAGTTGCGCCTCCTAAGCCTCAGCAATCTAATGGCATCGAATTTACCTCAACTGCTCGGCAACGGCGATTAGCATCTCTTTCTTTTTTTCGCACAGTGCTTTCTTTTTTGCCCAAGGCCCATCCATAAATGCTGGAGGGTAATAATCTGGCTCCAGCAGCAAGTTCGATATCATCCTGTCCTCGAGACTTCGCCTGACCACATCTCCAAAGGTCGTTCGAGTGCCCAAAGGCAGAAAGCATCGCAAGCAGTGCCTGGTATCCACCCCAATCCTATAGCTCCTCTGTGCAGCAAAGGAGAATCGAGAACGACATCAGTCGCAGCGCAGTGCCTCACAATGACGGTCACCACAGGCGCTCCAATCGAGATCACCTCCCCCGAGCAGTTCACTTCCATCATGGAATCAGACCTGAATCGGGTGACGCTGCTCAACTTTTGGGCCTCTTGGGCAGAACCGTGCAAGCAAATGAACGAAATCGTCGTGGAAATCGCCGCCAAGAACCCTCAAATCGCTGTTCTCAATGTGCGACGCCCACATATTACTGGGCACGTTTTGTGAACGAGTACTGATTGGCTTTCATCAACTTCGTCATATGAATGCAGGTCGAAGCAGAGGCACAGCCGGATGTCTCTGAATCATTCGACATTGACTCGGTGCCTTCTTTCGTTCTTCTTCGTGGCCACACTCTGCTCTCGCGCATATCTGGCGCCAACGCCTCTGCTCTGAGAGCTGCCGTTGCTTCTTATGCATCTGCGCCACACTCTAGCGCGCGTATAGTTGCAGGGGGGGCAGCCTCCTCGACTACTGCTGCGCCGCGTGCTGCGCCAAGCACATACGCGCCATCCACTGCGGTTGGCCCGAGCAGCGGCCCGGCGACAGGTTCCGTTGGGCAGCACTCTTTGGATGAGGATGTGCCAGTCGAGACGGAGGAGGAGATCGAGGAGCGATGCAAAGCTCTAATGAAGCGGTCAAAGCTCCTAGTCTTGATGAAAGGCTCTCCGGATCGCCCGCGTTGCGGTTTCAGTCAGAAGACAGTCAATCTATTGCGGGAGCAAGCAGTCGAGTTTGACCACTACGACATTCTCGAGGATGAGGGTGTCCGACAGGGTGCGTGCCCACCGCTCTCCCATGCTTAGATCATCATATTTCCACATGACTGACTCCCATCACGCTGTTTGCAGGCATGAAGAAGCTCAATGACTGGCCGACTTTCCCTCAAATCATCGTCAACGGAGAGCTAATTGGAGGGTTAGACATCCTCAAGGCGAGTCTAAGTCATTCGATTGGGGTCCTTCATGCACCCTTACTGATCCAGCTGTGAAAATTCGGGCTCCGGCGCTGGATGTAGGAGATGGTCGAGTCGGGAGAGTTCAAAGAGGTCCTGTCTTCTTCATAGCGAGAACGATCGTGTATATTTTAGCTGCAGACTTTCGTAGTCAAGCTTTACTGGCTGTGCCGGAGAGCCAAATGCACATGAGCAAATTGGAGCTGTAACAGAGCGGTTCTGCGGGTTTATCTGGAGGGGATGCAAAGCTCCTCGAACGCATGAGAATGTCTGAAAGTGCGATTTGCGTGCAAGAACCCGATAGAACGAAGGTTTTCGTCACGGGATTTCTGACCTGATGAGATCCAAACTGGAAAGGAAATAAGTACGCCAACCATCAACGCAGCAACTCTGGCTTGTGTCGCTCCGCACATTTGCAAAAACCATAGTACAACTGCAATGAGCGAACGAAAGCTTTTAGATGAGCAAGTAAACACCAAACCTCGCAAAGATCCTAACTTCGATCCTCAAAGCGGTCCTTGGCATGCGGCCTGCCCCTTAGTCGCGGGATTGGCCATTCAAGATGGCAGCTCAGACCCGCCCATCGCGGCACAGCCGGCTGGGACTCGCATCGCACATTACCAAAGTTAACCTCCTCGGCGGTGCACTGCATGCAACTGCATCTGTCTGCTTTCTTGTGCTCCTGAACTCGCTACAACCCACCTTGATCTCCCAGCTCGCCACCGATTGCAACGGACAGGGCCCATCTGGACCCGCCAACGGATCCGGCTTGTGCATAGAGCTGTCACTCAAAGGAGGCAAGGAGGCTCGTGCCGCGTTTGGACGTCTGAACAGCACTCTGCTTCTGCTCGACGAAGGAATCTCCATCTTCCTCGTCCTGATTTGGGGCTCGCTTGCAGAGGTTATCGGCATACGCTGGGTCGCTTCAGCTGGCTATGTGCTGATAGCTGTAGGTCTGTCCCTTTTTGCACTTGCGCAGAACGCATGGCAGGATCTGCTTGTCGCTCGACTCGTCTTTGCGCTCGGGGCAAGTGCTGTGACAAGCATGCTCAGCGGGCTTCTAGCGAGCTATAGTGCGACAAGAGCAGATGACCCAGCGCCGGCTCCATCGAGGCTGACCCCGCCGTCGGAGGAGACGCCGTTACTGAATCGCTCGCAAACCATTAGCACATCCCAGCCATCGGGTGCAGGCAAGCTTGCCTCTTGTGCTGGTGTACTCACAGGTGTCGGCGCGCTGATTGCAGTGTTTGGACTGGATCGTCTGCCGCCGCTGATTGAAAGATGGCTGGACCAGCATGAAGTACATGGCCGCAAAAAAGGCAATCATGGGGTTAGCTTAGATGCCAATCTGCACAAGGGGCTCCAGTACACCTTTGCATTATGCGCCGCCCTCGCAGTCCTTGTCGCCATCATCCTCGTATCCACGCTGCCAACCTATGATCTCAAAGCCGAAAGCAGCGAGTTACTAGTGGGCAGGGAGGAGCCAATCTATGCCGAAATGGAAGCAGACGTTACTCCCAGCGCGGCTGCAGAGGCAGCTTTCCAGCCTGAGGGCAGCTCTCACTCACGGTGGCGCCGCTCGCTCCGAGGCGCCCCGGCAGCAGCTACATCATCCGTGCTCAGCAATGAACGGCAGGCGCGGCGCTTGAGGTTGCAAGCAAGGCTAGCAAGGAGAGGGGTGTTCAAACGGACCCTTGTAAAGCTCTGCAAAGGCCTGTTGCAAGGCATATTCGATGCAGCACGCAGCCGAACGCTCGTCGGCGCTTACATTGGAGGGGCAATGGCTCGCGCGACCACCATCGGAACTAGTGAGTTCAATCCCGATGTGCTTCGCGAGGCGGCACGCTCTAAATGCATCCCACGTTCTTCGTCCTGTAGCCGCATTTCTTCCTTTGCTTGTCGCTCACTTCTTTTACACATCGGGGATCTGCACCGACATCCCTGATCCGACGCTGCCCACGTGCGAGATCAAGCGCAAGTGCCGTCAAGCGTTTAGATGGACCTCGATCATTTCAGGCGTAGCGCAGCTCAGTGCCTTACTTCTCAGCCCATTCATCGGTGTCATCGCTGATGCATTCTCGCCGGAAGCGACAATGGGCGCTGCTGCTACCTGTGGGCTTATGGGTTACCTGCTCTTCGCCTATGGACTTCCAGGCGGCATCGATGGTGACCCACGCAGCACCACAGCCATTGTCGCGGCTGCACTCATCGGCATCTGTCAGATCGGCACGATCATCTGCAGCCTTGCCCTGCTGGCAAAGGCCCGTCGGCTCAAAGGCTTTGCTGCGGGATCTCTTGCCGGCGCCTATTCTTTTTTTGGCGGAATTGGCATCGTCGCCGTGTCGAGTGTCGGGGCGCTGTTGTTCGATCTTTATGTCCCAAGCCCGTTCATCATGATGGCAGCTCTAGCAGCAGGGACGGCTGTCGCTGCTATTTTCATCTCCATTCTACCTCCTGTATAATTGGGTTCACCTCTGACGTGTAGCATAATGATTGTACAACACACGAGCCTGTAGGACATCATTTTACAGTCGTCACATTGTCCGATGTGTTCTTGCGCAGACCGAAGCTCAGTCCTCTTGCGCGCGTGCTGAGAGGTCCAGCTGGGACTGAGCCTGCGTTGCGTTCCCCTGTGGTCGTGTCCATCTGAGCATTCTGCGGAGCTTGGGCTGTGAGCAAGGAGAGGGGGACATTCGGTCTCAGGAAAGTGTCCACACCGCCATCCCGATGTAGCACAACGATTCCTTCGGGTCTGAATCGAATTTGTGCCAGAATACCGATGCTGTCGCCTTCGACTTGATGTGTAAGAATTGGCAAAAGCATCGCGGTCTCTCCTCGCAGTGGTGCTGCATGTGTGATCGCCTCATTGGCCTGGCCCGTATCTTGCCTGTCGTTCACTGATTGGCTGCCCCGGCGGCCGTAGCGTTCGACGAGCGAAAATGTTGAGCCTAGGACAGATGCGCGATATCCGCCGAGAGAGTGTGCACCATGCACGCGCGTCTTTGGACGGTGAAGGGTTGCGCCTGAGAAGTCCCACTGATACACGCCATGCCAAAGTCAGACTTTGAGGCTTGTCACCAACGGCGCTGCACTCACAAGGATTAGCTTTCCATCTTCTCCCACGCTGCCGAAGCGATAAATTCTGTCTTCTGCTTTCCATCGCCACGGATCAAATGCAACGCTGGTTACGTAAGAAGTATGGCCTTGACACCGTGCAAGGACACGACCTTCGCGCGGCGCGAACACAGTTATCAAATCGTCTTGCCCGCCGGTCTGAATTGAGACGAATGTCAATATCTTGGCAAATGACACTTCATGTATCGTAGACCACTCACTACCAGGAGGCGGCCATCTGGTGACCAACAGACGCAGGTAAAGCCGCCAAAGTACGAGCCGAATGTGTCGAGAAGTCTGCAAGTCATGCAACATCAGCGAGCGGTCCATCGACCCTATCGCCATCAAGAAGAACTTACACTTCAGCTTGCACGTCGATAATACGTAAATAGCCGTCCTCCGATGTTACAGCCAGCAGCGAGGCATCCGGGCTAAAAGCCATTCCAGTGATTTTCTCCCTGCTCACCCTCCAATGGCTTATAGGATTCAACTTGCTCCAGTTTGGCTCCTTCTTCGGCCCAGTGATCGCACCCGCTACCGCAAGGTCGATGAGGTTTGGAGCTGACGAGTAACCTATCGGTACGCCGGGACGAGTGACCAGCATACCTGCCTGAGGGTTCCAGACGTCTGCGATAGCAAGGACGCTTGGGCCGCCTAGTAACGCCAGCTCCGCAGGGAGCAATGGTGAAAGCCCTGCCGGAGCTTTACTCGCGCCCGCACCATTATCAGACGCAGCGTGAGAAGCTGCGGTAGCCGAGGTAGAACTAGTTAAAGTCCGCGGGCCTAAGTCCGGTCGCCGGAAGGAGCTGCCGTTGATAGGCGAAGCGGCTGCCGGGGATGAAGAGCTCTGAGGAATGGTGCGCGTAGCGGGATCCACGTTTGCTTGAGGTATCAGCCCTTCGAGCGCTCTGTCTTGAAATCCGTCATTTGGCTTCCTGTGAGCGTGGCTAAAGGATCCAGCAAGTGGTGAGTTCATGCAGGGTTCACCAGCGCCGACTGAGCTGACGCTCTCGTCTCGCTGCCGCTCCAGCCTGCGCACATAGACAGGGCTGGACAACTTTGGGAACCATCCCGTTTCCTTGCCAGGGCCAGCACTGTCCTCCTTCCCGGTCTCATAGACGATAATTGTTCCATCTATGTGCGCGGCAAGGAACGCACCTTCGGTGCCCGGCAACCACCTCAACACGGAGACGGGGGAGCTGCAGATGACACCGCCTTTATTGATGCGGGTGTAGCGGCAGCTGACGGGATCGAGCCAGATGAGGTCACCAGTCTGGAAGCCAATGATAATGTCCAAACTTGATGCACTTCTCGTCGAGGCGTTGATGTCGTGCGCTGTAATGTTGGTGGAGAAGCCGAACCTCGCCAGTGGCTCTTTCGCCAAATGGGTCTTCAAGCACCCTGCATCGAGCATCCAAGTCAGCGTTCGTCCATTCGACACGAAGGCAAATGTTTCAGAGTCGCCAGACCCATTGCGAGCAGCAAGGATCTTAGCAAAATCAGGATGTGTGCTAAGGCGCGTCACAAATGAGCTATTTGCGCCGCGCATGTTGTTCTTTGGCCGTCCGACTGACGAGACATTCCCTGAGGATGATGGTGCCGTGAGCAGCGTGTGAAGAGGAGGCGAGGGACGGTTGGAAGGGAGAGTGGGTCCTGTCGCCGAGGAAGGCGTCGGCGGTGGCAGCACTTTGCTCGATATGAGAGCTGAAGGATTCAACCCAGACGTGTGGGAGCTGTTAAGGCCAGTCCCATGTGACGCGCCATCGCCTTGGACAGACGGGGGTCGATCGGTCTTTGAGTCATCCATAGCACCAATTCCAGTGCCTGAAAGCGAGTCATTCCTCGCCGCTGCGAGGAGCCCTCGATACTCCACAATACCAGCAATGGGCGGCTCAGGGCTTTGCGCAGGAAAGTCGGTCCCCTGAGAAGCGAGCGTCGCTTCAATAAGGGACCGCGTCCAGCTGGCGTTGCTTTGCAGATGAGCTGGTACTCCAGATACAAAGCCGCCGCCTGAGCCGGCAGAAGGTCCACCGAGACCGATGCCTCTTCGAAGACCTGCGCCAACTTTTCCGATTCCTAGTCCCATTGACGTGCCGCCGCCGGAAGGTGCTAATCCAAGTGTAACCTCGTCCACCGAGTCTTCTTCTTTGGCTTCTATCGCAGCGAGCCGAGCGGCTGCTGCTGCCTTTGCTTGTTGCTTCTCCTTGCCTTTTGACAAGGCGTATTTGACACTGACGCAGGATATTTGTGGAAGAGGGGTGGCATACTGTGCGTACGCTGCTGCGCTGGCCTGTGCAAGCTGTATCATTGTTGGTGCGAGCACAGGGCCTGAAGTGGAAGCACCCGAGGGCTTTGCAGCTGTTGATGGTGTCGGAGGGTTTGCTCCATTTTCCGTAACACTGTTTGGTCGTACAGATCCTGCGCTGCTGTTCGAATTGTTTGGAGCGAAGACAGCGTTGTGCGCTGTTTTCGATCCGAAGCCCCCCGCCGAGGAGAGAGTGCCATTCCCATTCACAGGCACCGGTTTCCCACTCACATCGGGCTTGAGTCCGGCCGAGACCAGGCTGCCCGCCTGCGTGTATGAAGGATGCACCAAGCTTGCCACGCATCGGTAGGCGCCTTCCGGAGCGGTGAAGCTCGTATTTAGCTGCAACGCTCTTTTGGCTGCCGTCGCCGTAGCATATGTGGAAAATGAATTGATCGCCAGCGCTGGGCGCTGGTCTCCTTGGGATGTTGCCGCGAGTGCTGCTGCTGCACTCAACGAGTGCGCATTGCTGGAAGACGATGAGCTGACGGTGGGCATTGCGGCTTTACCGGCCATGATGCTGGGCTGTGGCCTGTTGGTGGTGCGTCCGGTGCTTGCGGGCGGCAGCGATCGAAATCTCCACTCTTATCACGACCACGTTGGACCTAGCGACGAGGCTGTGTGGATTAGGCTGGGCTGAAAGGAAGGCGAGGCGATGCAAGCAGCGAGGTGTTCGAGGCGAATGTGATCGTGCTGGTACTTGACGGATCCCACTGAAGTTCGATGAGACCGAGACGAGCCAATGAGAGCCGAGACTGCCGGAAAAGTCGCCGACGGGTGTCATCGTCACCGTTCAGAATCAATGACGTCTGTTTTGTTTGGTGGCATCGACGAACCCAGAGCATTTCACCGTGCAGGGCTTTCCGTAAAGTCGTACATACTACATCAGACCAGGCAGGCTGCACAACGGACTGAAGTTCATCATCTTATCGTCCGACTTTACGCTTGGCGGCACTGGCCTAGGCATGGGCTCTCCAGATGATTAGTCCAGGAAGCACCCGGCATTGAGGCCCAGTGCGCCGTGACGAGCGGGAAAGCACAGCATTAGGAAGATATCTCCACTATCAATACTCCCTTTCTCGCTAATGGAGGGCTATAATTTGGCCAGCCAGGGAGCACGCAGGGCACTCCCGCGGACATGGGAAGACCTGTCCGATCGCAGACCACTGCCGATCCATTTCGTACTTCTTCCATCGCGGCGTGCGTGGGGCTCGCAGGGCCGGGCCAATAGCAAAATTGGTGCGCAACAACAGCAGCTTCTCACACCAGCATGGGCATGCTACATTCCTGCTCGAATAGATGCTGCATACTCAAGTGCACCGTCCACTCCACACAAGGAAGGCTCCCCAGACTCCAGAGGGACCACTATATTCCGCCTACTTGATCCTGAGTTCCGAGAGCCCTTCGTATCCTTCGGAGCCCTCTGCCAGGCATCTGGGGAGACGGTAGTAGAAGGACTCGTAAAGTTCGCAGACGTACTCTGCCAGCCCGTTCAGAGTTTTGCCGCACAACAACACTACCCAGCTCCAAGGCAGAACGCTGCTAGTACCAGCGGCGCAAGCACGCCAAGGGTGCGGCGGCTCTCTTCCGGTGCTTCCCTTCTCGATCTCTCGCTTGCTGGTCTGGAACCATGCACCGAGTTATGGATACCACTGGCAGCGGCCCGTAGGGTAGCTTCTACATATGGTATGCTCGAAAAGCTGGCATTACTGCTAGGCTGGAACACCAGGCATGCCTGGAGCTTGGACGAAGGCGATGCAGGCGTCATTCACAAGTGAGTTCATCTCGTATACTGCTTGTCGACGCTACTAATGAAATCGGAGCTCATGCAGCTGGCGCCTTCAATCAAGTCTTCTTCCACCGGCTACGTATAGCCTCTCCTCGCTCCTGCTCACAGCTATCTGTGGTCCAGCGCCGATCCAGATTCTTACCCGCGGTACTCAAGTGCGAACATTGATCAGTACAGAGGAGAGGGCTAGTTTGGTGCAAAGATGGCGGCCTATTGTTCCTGTTCGCAGCAGCTCCAACAAGGGCATCTCTATGAATGAGCACGGGGACGTTCGAATGAGCCTACCAGACGATAATCAACAAATGCTCATGCGCTGGAGCGTGCGCGCTCTTGACAATCTGGGCGATTGCGAAGAAAACCTGTCTTCTCTCCTCCAATGGGAGCGTGGAAAGGCGCAAATGGATGCGATGGTGAAGTCCAACTCAGTTCCGGGTACCACTGGGGACATTCCGAGCGTAGCAGAGTCTCTGTTCGGCCGCACCAATGTGCGACTCGCTCCGAACACCGCATCTGTGTTGCTCCTTCTCCGAGATTTGGCCCACCGTTTGCGTGGCGACGAGGAGCATGTCCAGGATGTCTCCCCGAATAGTCTCTCAATTTCTGAAGGGGCTATCGTCTTGACCGAGCAAGAGCTGGCTTTGCTTGCTGGTGTAGCAATTGGTGAGCTCGAGGCGTCTAAGGAGAATGTCGCCCAAACGATCCAGCATGCTAGAATGGACGTATGCCGCGGTAAAGCAAGAGTGATTCTCGTCCATTACCTTTCAATTCTGACGGAATGGCAAAGTCGCATCCCGGGGGATGGGTTCCTGCATCCTAGCCAACACCCGCAAGAGAGGGTTAAACACGCGGTACCGACTCCGAATCGCAGCGGAAATGACAAGGATGATAGCACTTCACTGTCCAGCGCTGCCTTTGAGAACCGCATGGAACGAGTGGAGCGTTCGATTCAGAGGATCGAGTCTATATTGCAGTTAGTGGCGAGTAGGACAGAGCCGGAAAGGAACAGGTCCACCGTCGCTGCGACGAAAGGTGATGCCCATGAACAAGCGAGCAGCTCGAGCATTGATCCAGAGCAGAAGCGAGAGCTCAGAAAAGTGCATTTTGACGGGTATGCCGACAGGTGTACTTCTAAGCATTCCGGCAGAGCCCATCTAGTGGTCCTCAGGAATGACAACCACAATCAAAACGAAACCCCCAACAGCACCGATGCACTTGAAAATACCAGCCAGCCTTTACTGGAGAACCATAGCTGCGCGCAGGAGGAAGGAGAAAGCAATTCAAATATACCAAGCGCGGAAGGCAACAACCTACACATCCATGCAGTCAATGAAGTTCTTACATCGTCGCATCGCACAACAGCAATCATCGCCGTCGTCTTAGCATACTTTGCATACAGTCTCTTTGGATCGTAGCATATAGAGCGTTGCTTTCGTATCACATTACTCAGATTGAGATTCAATTTCACTATTACTCTGGCAAACTATGCATCCAGCAGGAAAAGGGGATTAGATATTGTACGCCTTGTCAACACCGACACCGGCGACGCCTTTGGCTTGCTGGCCGAGTCCGTGCCTCTTAAGGCGGATGGCTTGGACGGTGATGAATCCACTTGTGGCCTCTGGCTCGAAGCCGCCGAGCTCGTCCATACTGCTGAACTTCTCATCGTAGAGCATCTCGTCAGATTGACGGCCCTCGACGACGACGTTTCCTTTGTAAAGCTTCAACCTGACCTCGCCGTTGACCGTCTTTTGGCTGTGGGGAATGCAGCTGCGGACGAATTCGCTCTCGGGCGAGAAGAAGAAACCGTAGTAGAGAATCTCGCTCAACTTGGTCGTAACGATGCTGTCACGGATGCGACGGACTTCACGGTCCAGCGTCAGACCTTCCAGGTCGATGTGTGCGGTGCGGAGAATGGTTGCGCCGGGGGACTCGTAGCAGCCGCGAGACTTGACGCCGATGAATCGGTTCTCAACAATATCCACGCGGCCGATGCCGTGTGTGCGAGCGAGCGCGTTGAGGGTCAGGAAGATGTCGACAGCGTCCGTGTGCTCCTTGCCGGTTGAGCTGACCTTGATGGAGACAGGGATACCCTGCTTGAAGAAGATGCTAATGCGTTCGGGTGACTCCGGCGCCTTTTCAGGCGATGTGGTGAGCTTCCACATGTCATCGGGCGGGGTGGTGTTGGGGTCTTCCAGGATGCCAGCCTCGTAAGAGATGTGGAACAGGTTCTCATCGGTCGACCAAGGCTTCGCCTTCGTCTGCGTGACTGGGATGCCCTTGGATGCAGCGTACTCGAGGAGTGCAGAACGTCCTGCAAAGCGGTTGTAGAATTCGGGGATGCGCCATGGTGCAATGACCTTGATATCGGGCTTGAGGCCGTAGAAGGCTAGCTCGAAGCGGACCTGGTCGTTGCCCTTGCCAGTGCAGCCGTGGCTGACGAATTGACAGCCCTCCTTCTCGGCAGCCTCTATCATGCCGCGGGCAATGACGGGGCGTGCAAGAGAGGTTCCGAGCAGGTAGACATCCTGAGAAAGACAGCGGGGTCAGCAGGGGTAAAGATCGTACACAAAGGATAGCGGGTGTAAGAGCTCTTCGAGGCGATCTTGTGAAGATCACAACACAGCTCACAGAGCGTAGCGTTTCGCATGTAACTTTCAGATGTGCGCCTTCCGAAGGCTCACCTCGTAAATTGCATTTGCTTGAACAGCGGGCCAGATGAGGTTTTCGACAAACTCGCGCTTCATGTCCTGGAGGATAAAGCCTTTTGCGCCGCACTTGATAGCCTTTTGCCTAGCCGCCTCAAAGTCCTCTTCCTGTCCGACATCGGCCATGAAAGCGACCACATCGTAACCCTCATCGATGAGCCAGGCGAGGATGGTGGATGTGTCTGTACCCCGAACGGAATGAAGGTAAATCTGTGAGTGTTGGAGGCCATGCGCGCCCTTCATCATGCCCCAAGCTACTGACCGAGACCACCGGAGTACGCGAGCAGAACCTTTCCCTTGCCGCCAGCCATTTTCGCAGTGCTTCCTATGGATTTTGCAGTTGCCGTTTGATTGAACTATTTTGTTCTGCGCAACAGTTGCTCTAGTTGCAAAGAGAAAACAAAGCGGTGGATCAACAATGCCATCCCGAGGAAGAAGTAGCTATCATCAAATTCTTCGGAGGATGCGTCACCCGCGCGCTGTTTTCCCCATCTTGGATCCGGGGTTCTTTTTTTTTCACTCAGGTTTGTTCCTTCTTTTTCTTTTCTTTTTCTTCCTGGCGAAAAGGGCGTCATTTGGTGCAGCCCGAGATACGGAGAAAGCGTACTTCTCCCTTTGCCTGCGCATGGGCCACCTCCAGTGCCCAGACTGCCCTTCGCCGCTTTTCAAAGAGTTTCACTTTCCAACAATCAAGCTGTGTGCTGACCTTGTTCTGCCCTCAGGATCAGCACATATCAATCCCACAAGCTCAGCCGTTAGCGCGCCAGCTGCCGGTTCCACCGTCCGTCGCCAGTCATCTCCTGCAACTTCTTTGTGGTACCCTCAAAAACTGCAAGCCTCGCCCTTGCCCAGCTGATGTTGCAACCGCAATGGCGACCGGAACGATCAACGTAGCCATCATCGGTGAGTATTTCGTTCTGAACGCGTTGCAGGTGCCTCCGAGGGGACACCTCGCTTGCTAAGGACACATGGATAATAGCGTAGGACTAAGCTGGGCCACTGCGTCCGAGGACCGCCTCAGGCTCATGAAGTTGGCCTTGCCGCTCTAGCCCGCAGCTCCAAGCATTGATCGAAGCTGTAAAGTTCCCAGACACCCCCGCAATGTCTGTCCTCTCCATCTACGGTCCTTTCCGGCTGTTGAATAACGTGTATGTTCCGCTAACATGGGCCTCGTATTCTTTTCTTTTCTTGCCTCGTTCCTGCGTGCTTGCTATCAGGCGTTGGCCTTGTTGGCACGTCCGTTATCTCTCAAATTCTGTCCAGTCCAACTCTGCGGCATTCACTCTCCATTGTCTCGCTTCAAAACAGCAAAAATTTGCTCTTGCTATCTTCGGACTCGGAACGCTCGCAGATCTCCCAAGAAACCTGGAAAGCCAAATTGGCATCCTCGGAAAAGCCTGCTCCCGAGCCCGAGGAGCTCATCAAGATCTTGCAGAGCATCTCGTCGGCCTCTGCCGCAAAGCACACTGTCATCGTCGACAACACTTCTAACGATGCTGTCGCCAATGCCTACCCCTCTTTCCTCTCAGCCGGCTTCAGTGTTGTCACTCCGAATAAGAAGGCGTACTCTGGGCCTGCAACCCTCTTCTCTGCGATCCGGACTGCACAGCAGTCCAACCCGACTGCCCTAACCTACCTAGAATCTACTGTAGGAGCTGGCCTGCCCATCATTTCCACGCTCAAAGACCTCATCGCGACTGGCGATGAGATTCACAAGATTGAAGGCGTGTTAAGCGGGACTCTGTCGTACATCTTCAATGAATGGTGTCCACCATCACTCGACTCGACTGTTAAGTTCAGCGAGGTGGTCAAGGTCGCAAAAGAGCAGGGCTACACAGAGCCGTACCCCGGTGACGACCTTTCTGGCTCAGACGTCGCCCGCAAGCTTACCATCCTCTCGCGTCTCGTGCCAGCAGTAGCAGAGGCCGTGCCGCTACCGGAAGGCTTTGCTTCTGTTGCGACCCGTTCGCTGACCCCAGCAGCCATGCTCGCCGAAGAGAAGACCACAGGCAAAAACCCTGATTCGTATGTCTCTAAGCTTGCTGCCTTTGATGCCGAATTTGATGCGCTTCGTGAAGAAGCCAAGAAGGAAGGCAAAGTCTGGAGGTATGTGGGCGTCATTGACGCTCAAACAAAAGAGGTGAAGGCTAGTTTGGAAAAGTACCCTGCCACACATCCCTTTGCTGCCAGCTTGGGAGGTAGTGACAACATCATCAGCTTCACTACAGCCAGGTACGCTACGCGCCCTCTCCTTGTGCAGGGCTCTGGCGCTGGCGCAGACGTCACCGCGATGGGTGTCGTTGCAGACTTGCTCAAGGTGGCCGAGCGCAGGGGTGTGTAAATAGCTGCGGCTTTGGTTCAATCATACGACGTCTTAGCTTGGACAGCTAGACAAATCTTGCATTCTGCTCGCTGGGTTACCGTCTTTGGCTATATTCTTGCTAGGTACATCAAAGCTGTTTGCATTTTTCACTCCATAATCTTGGCAAGAGCTCCACGTAGTCGTTCCTCAAAAATTTCCTCCCTGAAGTCGCCATTTTGAGTAAACCATTCGCCAAAGTGTCCGAGCGGGATAGACTCGTTACCGCTGTCGCTCTGCTTGACGAGCGTTTTACCGCCGTTACTGGTTTGGGTGTAGGAGAAGGATAGGGCGTATACGGGCGGGATGCACACAGGCCTGGCAGTTTTCGCAGTGGCGGAGTCGGAAGTAATAGACGTGCCGGGCAACAGACGAGCTGTCCGCGCTTCTGCGCTGCCGGCGTTGTACAACTTGGGCTTGGGTAAGGTCGGAGCACTCCGCACGCGCAGCGTCTCTGTTTGAACGATTCCATTGGTGGTCGTGCGGCGCTTGCATAAGACGATTGTGTCACCTTGCAAATGGCTGGAAAGCATTTGTAGACCGGACAAGATAGCAAACAGTGCTACACAGTAGAGTGTTGGGCCCTTGTTCACGCTCCATTCCGGCTCGACCAAATAAGACCACGCAGCGCAAGCGATCATGATGATCGATCCTGTGAAGCCCAGCGCGAGGCGTACATCTGTGTGGACATGCGAGGCCGTAAAAGGTGGAGAGAATCCACTACGTGATGGGCCGGCACCTACTACCTCTGGAGCTCGCGTCAGTATCTGCAAAGGGAGAGCATTAGCTGTCAGCTTTGGAGCCAAGAAATAATCAGCAAATCCATCATAATATTCAAGTACTCACTCGCTCTACTGCATCATCGCAGGTAGCCTTGAGCTCGGAGAGATTGGAGGTGTCGACGATGATGGTGTCCTCGTGTGTGTCTTCGCCGGCAGACGCACCCGCTCTAACTTCTGAAGAAGACATGGCGTCGAGAACTTGATTGCGTACTCGTTTCGTCTTGTTCACCTAGGGGTCGCTAGCCTTGTGAAAGATGCTAATAGCAGCCAAGGAAAGAACCTTGTCGCGAAGCTATCATCTATGACCACTGCAGAGTGTATGTATGTCGTGATTGGTCCCTTCCGTTTTGGATGAACCTCGAATGCGCGCGGGAGGCAAGAAGCATGTGTGGAGTCAAGGGCAATGGGGAGAAAATGCAACCCTAATTTGGCATCCCGGGCACCGCGCCACATGCCGCGCTGCGTTTGCGGGTTTGTGCTGATCATCGTCATCAAAGCCATCAGCAGCAAAGCTCTTTCAAGCGGTTGCCCTCGATGTCAATTGCCAGCACTAGCTGTGCGCAACTTGTCCTCGGTACCACTGAAATCCACAGCAGGGTTGTTATCAGCTTTCTAACCGCTGCTCTTAGGAGCGAGAAGTGCGAATGCCGGGAAAATCGGAACGGCCCCAAAAGTTGCGTCTCTTGACCCGCCGATACGATTACCAGCATGCTCCATCCCGGATCGCAGCCGCAACATTGCCCGCGCCCTGAAGGGGCCCAAGAAAACATGCAGCTCTTAGATCCTGGGGTCAGCTCAGCTGTGCTTCCTGGGCACAAGCAAGCGGTTTCTCCGCTTGAGATGCTCATCCGGCGCAGTAATAAAGTGTCTCAGGATGCACCGCTCATCGCCGACGACCGATGGTACCCTGCTGAAACAGATGAGCCTCAATCGGATGGCTTTGGAGGATACTTACCGAGGCAGGATACTCAAATCGACCAAGCCGGCGGATCACAGGGGCAGTCGGGCGGTATGCCGATGATGCGTGGGAAAGGCAGCGGCAGCAACGGCAGCAGCGGCAGCATTAGCTATATACAAGGCGGGAGCTATGAATCCTCCACCTCGCTATCCTCACGGAAAGGCCAGAGAAATAGCAATGGGAACGCGACGCCGTCTACCCCTCTTTCGCAAAACACTTATGAACCTTCATCTTGGCAAACGCAGGAGCGGCTGGCCCCTCAACCGGGCGACGGCGACGGTGACAGCGATATCTTTATTGTTCCTAACGCATTTCGGTCCTCTGTTGCCTCCGACATTTCCTACAACAGCATCACGGTAGATGAGGAGAAACGAAAACTTCACAAGAGCTTCGACTGGGATGCTGTTCGGCAAGATCAGCAGCTTCAACGGACCCCGGGTGAGCAGACCGGGCGGGGAAGGATGGAAAGACGAAACTCCAGTGACACGGTTTGCAGCAGCGAATTTGGCGAGCAGAGTCGATGGGGGCATCTGTGGGCTGGCAAACCTCATGATGAAGGGAGCACATTTTTGATGTCACGCGATTCAGAGCTGGAGCAAGAGGCGATGGATCTCAAAAACTGGCACGTCGATATAGGCGGTGGGGAAGGTGTGGGACATCAGACGTTGCAAGGACTAGACGCGCTGCGAGAACTAGCACGAGGAATCCCTGTCGCAACTTTCTCAGCATGTGGCGGAGTGTACAGCCACTCTGCTCACATTGCACAGCGCAAGCAAGCCTATCCTGTTGGTCCAGACGGGACCGGCGTGCATCGCCCTCTCGAGGGTCAACGCGCTCAACTGGTCAATAGTAGGCAAACGGGCGAACACTCTGGCAAAGATAGGTCGCAGGTGGTTAGCTTTTCCGGAAGCATCCATGAAGTTGTTCCCGTTAATGGGCCTAATGACGTGGATGAACGGGAACAGCATTGCCTGTTTGCAGCGACGCTGCGCAGCGAGCATAGCAGCAGTCAAGAGCGGAGTCGAGATCGTGATAGCGTGTTGACAATACGCGGTTCAGCAAGCAGCGAAGTACCGCTGAGCCTCAATATCTGGCCACCGACGCCGGAGGGCTCCATCAATGGGTCGCAGCGGCAATGGCAGCACAATGGCCGCGCTGCTGTGCGACACTCTCCTACGCGCGATGCCCAAGCGGAAATTGTAGATGAGGAGGCAGCCAGTCTCTACAAGGTCGAATCGTTTGCTATGAATAGGGACCAGCAGCGAAACAGCCATCGAGAAAGTGCGGTCAGTCTTACTACCGATGGGAGCGGAAGCAGTGGTGGAAGCAGTGGCAAGGCCAATACCTGTAGTAGCGGCGATGACGATTTCAGGACGCCGTTGCAGGGGCCAACGAGTATCATCTCGAGCTTACCCGTTTCCGGTTCTATGGCAAGCCCAGCTCAAATCAATGGCGTCTCAACCTTCCCGTCAGCTCGGCCATTACAACAGCATCCGTTCAACGGGCCGGTTGGAGTTGCACAGGCCCTTCAAAATCCGCTTCACACCCCCCTTGTTGGACCTGGTGCTGCATCGCATAACCAATTGGACGTGCATGGGCGGTTGGACACTGGGCATCATGGGCGTCATGCTGCTCCGCATGCGCTTCCGGATTTGTGCTCAAATCCGAATCTTCCGCCTGGCATCCTACCCGGCAGCCGCAGAGCCAAAGCCATTGCCGATCATGATGGGAGGGAAAGTATGGTATCTGACCTAGACGTGGAGACGTTGCGCTTGGATGGCAGTGGAAGCAGCCGACGGGACAGCTTCAGCACGATCCGGAGCGCTATGACTGTCGGCACCATCAACTACGACTCTGAGAGACAGGCTATCGCGGACGCATACGTCCTTGTTGATGGCCAGAGGAACGGCATCACTGCGGCTCAGTCTTTGCAACAAGAATGGGTGCTGGAGCAGCAACGCTCGTTACACCAACAGCAATTCCAGAATGGCCGCTCTCCATATCGGCTGCATTCGGCAGCCAGCACTTCCACACCTTCGTTCGCGACCGACAGCTCTACAGTCAAGTCTTCTCAAAGCTCCATGTTACGAGACCCCGACGCGCTTGCTAAGCGATCGCAGCTTGGCGCGGACACCAAGACGGGGCCAGCAGTGGCAGAAGAGTACCTGAGCCAAGGTATCACGTACCATGAGCAAGGCGACATGTCGCGCTCAGCTTTCTACTTCGAGCGTTCAGCGAAGGCCGAAGGCGGCTGTGTCGTCGGCATGTGCATGTGGGGCATGGCTCTTCGCGAGGGCTGGGGAGCGCGAAAGGACCCGAGGAAAGGGTTCGAGTGGATCCAAATGGCTGCAGCTCGTGCTGGCAAGATGAGCAACAACCCGACGCGCTCGGAAGGCGAATTGAAGGCCATTAAAGTATGTTGTCTCGGATGCTTAACCGGGTCAAAATGGTCGCTGACCTTTTTTCTGTCTCTCTTCTAAAGTCCGAGCTGAAGCTGTCGGTCTACGAGTTAGGCAAGTGCTATTGTTACGGATGGGGAACAAAGATGGACAGTGAGTGCTGTTGCTTCTACATTGGTTGCTAAATGCTCACCGACGCGGCTCTCCACAGAACAAACAGCACTGGAATATTTCGAGCTTGCTGCCAAGCTTGGTGACGTGGATGCTCAAGCTGGTGCGTTCTGTCAACTGGGATCGTTGGTGCAGCGCTTTCGGTAACGTATTTGCCTTTCACTTTCCCTTTTAGAGGCCGGTGCGCTATACACGGCTGGAAAAGGATGCAAAAAGGACCTGAAGAAAGCGGCGATGTACTACCGTTTGGCTGTGAGAACTGAATCCTATGGGTAGCATGTTTATAGCTGCTAATCCTTCTTATGCTTCGTCCACCCGCTGCATAGGAGAAACAAGGTTACGACACCGTTGGCTTGTCCTGGATCTGGAAAGACAAATACAACGCATAAAGGCGATGCCAAATGTCGAATCTACACTCGTAACGATAGATCTTTGTACCATCTTAACGATGCATATCATATCCCCAGCAAAAGGTCACCACCTATGCAGAGCAGCTTAGTAAAGTTGTGACCGAGCGCTGTTTCCTTGCGTTGGAGTCAACCATTTGCGCATCAGCGGTGGCATTACATCTGTGCTCAACTTTTTCAACATCAAGTCATTCTTATTTTCAGGCTTTGTTATTGTAGATCAAAGAAATCCGGTTGTTGTGACGAGCCTGTGGATGCCCAGATATGACCCGGATTTTTGGAAAGCTCTCAGTCCGGCTGCTCGGAGCGCAGTCTCCAGACAATATTTATATTGTGATTTGAGTTCAAGGATCGCGGAAGGATGCCATGCATTACCCAAGTAATGAGCAACCGAGAGTGGTGCGATCAGTCTCTATTTTCTGCCTGCACTGATTTGCCACTGGTGACTGGTCTGCCCCACTCTGAACAGCTACGCCCATGGCAGCTGTCAGGGAAATACGTAGGTTAGGGTTAGGGTTAGGGTTAGGGTTAGGGTTAGGGTTAGGGTTAGGGTTAGGGTTAGGGTTAGGGTTAGGGTTAGGGTTAGGGTTAGGGTTA